AAGCCTGTTTTAAGGCATATGCTACAGTATTTTGTAATGTTGTTACACCTTACAATGGTAGGCAACTATGCTATCAGTTTTCAGCAATTATGTCAAAGTAAAAAAAAAAAAGCCTACTCATTCATACCAAAAGCTTGGGGAATAAATTCCTTATCCCTGTTCTAGGGTAAGACATATCTAACTTTTAATATTCCAAATCTCTACCCCTATTTTCAATTAATGATTTAAAAGCCATCAGCACATTCAGTTGCAGAGGCCCATATGATTTAGTATATTTCCCCAATCTAATGCTCTCCAAATGTCCTGGATAGGTAGTTGTTGACTTACCACCATTTGTTTAGCAATCATTCAGAGTTATGACAGTGCTGAATAAAAAAATGACTTACGACTGGCCTTCGTACTTAAAACTATTGCAATGTCCCTGCGGTCACATGATAAAAATGCAGAAGCATGGCCATCCTCCCAGCCAGCTTCTAACAAGGAAATGTAATTGCTTAATGGATTTGCTTACTGACCACATGATTCATTTAAGGACCACAATAATTCACATGTGGCAAAAAAGGTAGTAAAATAAGGCACTGCTTGCTTAATGACTACCTCATTTAATGACAGTTCAGTTGTGTTTGTAAAACGTTTTGCCCCCTGTAAAAACCACACAAAATGTCCAAACAATATTTAAAACAATCAATCAGGAGGATGAAAACCAGTTAGTCGAGTAAGTGAATAAAGCCAACCAAGACCAGAGAAAAGTCAAAGCTCCACCATATGTTTATCTAAAATAAGGTATTGGATTAGCATCACGGGTGGGTTCTAATTTTTTTTACTACCGGTTCTGTGGGCGTGGCTTATTTTGTGGGCATGGCTTGATGGTCATGTGACAATTCTTTAGCATTTAGCAGAGGTACTGGTCTACAAGACTTTTAACTGCTTGCAGAGCTGTACTGGTCTACCCATTTATTTTTGCAGGCACTGGTCTACTCATGTATTTTTGCAGGCACTGGTCTACCCATTTATTTTTGCAGGCATCAGTCTACTCATTTGTTTTTGGAGGCACTGGTCTACCACCAAACTGCCTTTTACTTTCAGCTGTAGGGCGGCCCTTTGAAGCCCCCTTTAAACAGTTTTTTTCCTTATAGCCCATCAGCTGGGACTCAGGAGGCAGCAATAGATTGGGGGTGGGGCCAAATAAAAGGTAAGAATAATGGGGGGAGGGGTGGGGTGGCGGGGAGTGGCGGGGGGTAGAACCGGTTCGGTGACGTCATATCGTCACCGCTACTGGCTCAGTGGAACCAGGTGAGGAACCCACGACCGATTAGCATCATACACTAAGCAGTTCCAGAGAATGTGGCAGCAATCAAAAAGTCTCACTTCCACGTAAATACTAACCAGGTAGCTGAGTGAGAACTTGAAAGGAAAAATCTCTGTGATTCCTGTTTGGACTGACTATATCAAATTTGTACAGGCAGTCCTCAACTTGCAACCATTCAAAGTTACAATGACACTGAAATAAGTGACTTACAACCGGTCCTCACACTTATGTCTATTGCAAAATTCCCCACAGTCACGTGATCAAAATTTGGGCACTTGGCAGCCAGCATATATTTACAATGGTTGCAGGATTCTCAGGGTCATGTGAATACCACTTGCAACTTTCCCAGCTGGCTTCTGACCAGCAAAGTCAATGGGGAAAGCCAGATTCGCTTAACGACTGTATGATTCACCTAACAACTGCAGTTATTCACTCAATTATGGCAAAAAAAAAAAGCTTGTAAAATCAGATGTGACTCATTTAACAACCACCTTGCTTAGTCATGGCATTTCTGGTCCCAATTGTGGTCATAAGTCAAGGATTCCCTGTAGTACAAATGCAAGAAACACATTTTTACAAATGTATGTTGTACTGATGGCTCACCGGAAAGTTAGCTGCTGTTGCCGTATTAGAAAGCTTGCTTGGTGGCCAATGCAGACAGAAGCAAAATATAACTTAATTGTTACCTTACACAACTTCTGATGTGCAAAATTATCCATAGCCAGACACAAGTTCATATTTGAACTAGAAAGGAAGGTGTGAGCTATTTGTGTAAATTTATATATTATATATAAATTACCTCCTTGTTAATTATGTCCTGTTAAAAAAGGTCTATCTATGTGTCCTTTTTGTGTATCTTTCCTGCCATCTTTGCACTCTGAGCTAAAACATTTGGAAGGAAGTTTATCAAGCCGAACATTCTTGTAAATCTGAACTTGACTGCCAAGAATGCAAATGATTCATTCCCTATGAGGAATTAATTTCCTGTCCACACTACTCCACCCCCTTTAAACATACATTTACTATTCAAAACAAGTGACCCCTCTGTTTCTTTACTCTGAGCATTCTTAACTGTATGATAAATAAAATTCCCCAGATAGTTCTGACAATTTATTCTCAGATTAACTGGAATAAAATAGTAACTCAGACAGAGCGTCAGTATTAATGATAGATGTATATGATAGCAATATGACAGAACAAATTCACAGGCTCTCGGTTCAAGTATGTTGGGGTTAAGGACTGTCTGCTAAAAAAAAAAAAAAGATAAAAGAATTAATTTATATGACCTGTTAGGTATTCAATTCAAAATCTGCAACTCTATATTTGAATTCTACAAAGCTTCATTTGAATAAATGTCCCATCTGTGTATATTCTGTTTGGTGCACAAAATGAGTTCTCAATTATGCAAGTCAGTGTTTTTCAAACTTGGCAAATTGAAGATATGCAGATCGACTTCTAGCAGGCTGGCTGGGGGATTCTGAAGGTTGAAGCCCACACATCCTAATGTTGCCAGATTTGGTCTAGAGTCTAGACAAAATAGTTGATTGCCTCAATTGACCAGTCAATTGATCTTGATCTTGCCTGGCTCTTGGGATCCAGTGATCTTAGAAAGATTACAGTAGCTGAATCGGTGGCTCTGCCTATCTACAAAATGCCACAGCATATTCACTATTTTTGCCAATTTGGTGTGAAGGGCTGTATTGCTTTCTAAGAATTAGAATGGAGGAATTGGTTTTTTTTTTTAAATAAATGGTTAAAATGTACAATAAAAGCTTTTTTGATTTGATTCAGTTTTCAATTCCTCAGATTCTAAGCGTGAAAACATACTTGAGTGCCATCTAGCTAATCTTCACAAAATTTAAAAAGATCAACAATTGTATTTTATCAAAATGATCTATGTGGAGAGCTCGTTAAGATTATCCTGCATCTACAAATTGTTTTGTGAAATTTACAATAGTCCTTGAAAGAAACTACAACTCTCCAGACCCGTCTGTCTGTCTGTCTATCACATTTTTGAACCCACCAGCTCCCTCAGAGAGACTGATTGGTATACAATAAAATGTTAAAAAATAAAAACAGCATATAAAAATTAATTTTAAAAAAGTTAAAAGGAAGAAAAGGATAATTAAACCTTGTTAAAAATTAGTTGAAAAGACAAAGGCTCTTAGGGTGTTAACCTGTCCCACAGCTGTGTGCTGTTCTGGTCTCCCCACACGTGACTGTAGTCATGTTTTAACCCCTTTTCATAAGGCCAGAAGTGTAGGGTCCTACACCTCTGGTGTGTGTGTGTGTGTGTGTGTGTGTAAGAATTTTCCACAGGGCGGTGGCAATGGCAGACAAGATTATCTTTGTTAGACCCCCGCCAGTCGGACTTGATCTGATGGAGTCTGCAACATATCTTTCCTTCTTGACCAGGTGGGGTTGGGCCCATGTAATGGTAGCCTGGCCCATGCCATGTAGGGCTTTATACATCACAACCAATACCTTGAGTTTGACCTGGAAGCAAACTGGCACCCAATGTAGTTTGTGAAGCTAAGGTGTTACATATGCCCTTTTTTGGGGTACCCAGAATTGCTTTGCACAGCTGCCTTTTGTATCAAGTGAAGCTTCTGGTTTCAAGTGTAACCCCATGTAGATTGCATTGAAATAGTCCAGACAGAGATGACTAGGGCATGAGTAACAGAACAGGTTAGGGTTATGGGATTGTCACTGCAGTACACAAATCTGTTATCACTGGGCCACCGAATTCAGGTGACTGTTGGTTAAGTGAGTAATGACTAATGTTGAGCGTCACACGTATAAAACTGATTATAACAACAAATATATGTGCAGATAAATTACATCAAGAATTTGCTGGGAGAAATAACTACTGTATATGAATCAATTTAATAAACTTTACCCTTGGTTTCTGCTTAATCATACAATCATACAATGTTTGGATTTGGCTATGACGCATGCATATAGCTTACATTTATAGAAAAAACCAACAGATAAGAAATTCCAAACAGCATCCTTCAAATGAGGATTATTCAGGCTTCCATTTAACCATCATGTACTAAATTAATCTAAGTTCACACAACACAGAACCGCAACCTAGCTACCACTTTTTCATGCAGAATACTGTATAAACCTGGCCAGAGTTTAAGGCATGACCCAGGAACCTGCAAACATAGATGGATATTAAGCCTCTTTGTGTGAGAGAAAAGCCCTGATAGATGAGGTAAGATCAGGTTAGACCATCCGAAATTCCCATGCCTGTAGGCAAGATTGCCAAGTGAAGCAAAGAATGAATGCAATGGCACTTCTTTATATATTGTCAAGAAAACTGCACAGCCACCTATTCTCAACTCTAATATCTTTTTTTTTTTAATGTGGGGGAGAACTCATTAAACAATCTCAATGCCCATCACCTCCTACTGCAATGTTTCTTAACCTGGGCCACTAAAAGATGCCTGGACTTCAACTCCCAGAATTCCCTAGCCAGCATGCTGGGAGTTACAGCGCACACACCGTCAATACAGTATTGCATCCCCATTCGTCTCTAGCAGCCTATCCCTATCCCTATTGGCCATTTAGAAGGAACCGCCTTTCCAGAACTTCTTTTACCTCTCGAGGCACACTTAAGTATCGCGAGAGGTTGTATTCCGCCCCCCCCACCTCTTCGCGGGGAAGCCTAGTCAAGTCTCCCTACTTTGGTGGGCGCCGCCATCTTGTTTCGGCGGAGCTCTTGAGAAAGTGCTTCCGGGTGAGGTCGTCGGTTGGAAAGCGGCGTTTGGTGTTTAAGGAGTCCTCGCGCCTTTGTTTCGTCGAGGCGGGATTCGCACGAAGAGCCGTCCCGATGGCGGTGGAGTCTCGCGTTACTCAGGAGGAGATTAAGAAAGAGCCCGAAAAGCCCATCGACCGCGAGAAGGTACAAAAGGAGGAGTGGAAGGTGGCGGGGAGAAGCGGAGACGGCTGGCTGGCCGCTCGCCCGCCCGCCTGCCTGCCTCGCCTTGGTCGTGCTGTATGCATGTTGCGATGCCGTGTGCACGACGAGCAAACCTCCCCTTCATCCACGCGTTTCAAAAATCGGTTGGTTGGAGGGTGAAGGAAAGCACGCTGCAAAGTGCAACACGGGCGCTTCGTGCAATTTCGTCTCTCGCGCCACTTTGCACGTGAAAGCCGCCGGGGGTGTTTTTCTACCAGGTGCTGCCCTGCCGTTATGGGTCTGTTGTGGGTCTGCTGGGAACATTTGTGCCACCAAGCATACATTAACTTTCACGGTCTGGGTTTTGTATCTTGTAACAGGTTTGAAATGTGGTTGGCCGATTTTTTGGCTCTTTGGGTTGTGGGAACATGGCAGTTAAATAGCAACAGCTATTATAATAGACTTATATACCGCTTCACAGTGCTTTTACAGCCCTCTAAGCGGTTTACAGAGTCAGCATATTTCCCCCCAACAATCTGGGTTCTCTGAGACCTAAATGATGCTTGCTTACTTATCAGTCAATCTAGGAAGTTTCCAGCGACCTTGTGGCTTCTAAATACAGGCAGTTCTCCACTTACAACAGTTCGTTTAGTGACCGAAGTTATAACTGCACGGAAAAAAGTGACTTATGATCATTTTTCATCCTTAAATGACCGTTGCAGCATCCCCATTGTTATGTGATTTACCTTCGGATACTTGGCAACCGGTTCATATTTATGACAGTTGCAATATCCCGGGGTCACGTGACCATCTTTTGCGACCTGACAAGCAGAGTCGATGGGGAAGCCAGATTCACTTAACTGTGTTACTAATTTAACAACTGCTGTGATTTGTTTAACAAATGTGACAAGAAAGGTCGTAAAATGGGATAAAACTCATTTAACAAATTTCTCACTTAGCAACATAAATTCTGTTGCTCAGTTCATAAGACATGAGTCGAGGATGACCTGTATGTGTTTGTCATACTCTGCCTTAAAAGTCTCATTCAAGACAAGCTTTACTTCTCATGAGTTTTTGGGAATGGCCAAGAAATTTTCTTGGCAAAAACATAAAAACGGTTTTGCAAATCCATTCTTTGATTTCTCAATCTAACCTACATACTTGAGCTATCCTATTGGTTTCGCATTTAAACATTAATCATATATGATCTTTCTTAATTATATATTTAAATGCCTAATGCATAAGTATTATTGTGCCTGGTAAATCTAGAAGAGTTTGTAGTGTCTCTTTTTTAGGGGGAGGGGCAAATAAGAGTATGAAAGGTATGATAGGCCTATATACTATCTAACAAAACATTCTAAATATTTTAGCTATTTAAACTTAGAAGTACCGGTATCATTTCTATAGCTAGAGATAATTGATATAAGTCATATTTATATGCAAATTGGACATTTTGTTAAACTGATTTGGATTGCTAGACTTGGATACTGTGTTCTATTAATCAGTAAACACTTTGGTCAAAATGGGCACAGTACTATAGTTGAAGAATCATAAATATTACATGAACTCATGAGATCTTGTGGTTGGAGATAATCTTTGTAGAAAGGCATAAAGTTCTATGATTGTTTTGAGCCAATTGTGAGTTTATGGAGATATTAGAAGTGTTTAAGAAAAGCAGTATATTTTAAATTAAAGTCGTCTTAAGCTATTGTATAGGTTGGAGAAGTATGTTAGCTGTGAAATTGGTTAGTTGGAGAGAAAACTTGATGTGATAAGGAAGGGAAACAATATCACAAATAAATTGCCACCTCTTTCTTCACAGGTTGCTAATAAGCTCTGAAAATTCTTCCGAAGAATAGGATTTCTGTTACATGCATCATATTCTTTTTCTGCTTCTCCATGGAAAATTTATAACTAGAATTTTAAAATCCATTAAATGTTAGAAAACCAGCTAAAGATTTATTTAGATTAGCTACTTTTTTATATTTTTGTAAACCAACCGTAAGAGAAATTCAAGTAACAGTTGACACAAAACAAAATCAATGATACATGGTATAAATACATTTAAGACTGACTGTTTTCTTTGCAGACCTGTCCCCTGTTGTTGAGGGTCTTCACCACAAACAATGGGCGTCATCACCGAATGGATGAGTTTGCACGTGGAAATGTACCTTCCAGTGAACTTCAGATCTACACATGGTGAGTTCTTGCCTATACAGGTAACCATTTGCCTATATCTCAATATTGCATTAAAAACACATGAAAAGTATCTTTTATGGTGTGATAGCAGAAAGGGTTTGCCATTTTTTCTAATGTACAGAAGTTCTACTTTTGATAGATGAAAGGCAGAAAAATTGGGAAGTCTCTTTTATAGCTTTCCTATTAATGGACAGTTTGAAGCAGTGGAAATTGCACTCTACCGAGTAAAATAGAGAGATGTATTTTGAAAAAATGTGAATGTTACCATGTTCACCAAAGAAAGAAAACTGCCTAATTTGTTTGTAGAATTGTCTCTTGCTGATTTTTTTATAAATATAATTGTGGATAGATATGTTGGTTAGGCTTCAAAAGACAGAAAACATGGAGATATATATCCATGAAATCTCTGAAAGATCAATGTTGGTATGTCTGAGAGGAGAAAAAGACCGTATGATTGCAAATTATACATGGCTGCTAGAGCAAGTAGATTATTTGTATATTCTATCGGTATTTGAATGGGTACATGCATAGAAAAATTAAGTCATGCAAATATTGATGGAAAGACAATGGTTAATATTTGGTATAATGAATGTTTGACAAAAGAAGCAAAAATAAGTTTCTTACCACTTGGATACTTGAAGTGACCTAGTTAGGATAGGAGAAACATAAGAAATTGAATATAATGGGAATGGGGTACTTTAAGAAGTTATGTGTAATGAAATAAGGTCAGGAATGTGAATTAAATTAAAAAGTGAGTGATACAAAAAAGTAATCTGAGGAAGTTTTCTTTTATAGAATGAATAAGAACTAACAACTATATGAAAGATCAATAACTTAAAAAGGGAAAGATTAAGAAAACTATTTGAGCTGAAACTCTCAGTGTGAGTCTCAACTAAGAGAGAAGTTTGAAGGATCTAAAGCAGGGGTGTCAAACTCACGTCGTCACGGCAGCATCACGTGACATATTGGGACACCCCCCCCCTTTGTTAAACCGGGCGTGGGCGTTGTCAGTGAGTGATCCATCTGGCCCTCGGGAGTTTGACAGCCCTGATCTAAAGTAATAGTGTATGGATATGATGGAAGCAAGGATGGTTGGCAAAGGAAAGTGGTGTTGAGGTAAGCTATATTTACGTTATTCCTCCTTTAATTTCCTTTGCTTACTATTTGTAAGAGACAATAATATGATCGATGTATGTATGGATTGCTACATGAATGCTTTACAAAAAAAAGAGCTAAGTGCTAATTTGAATCAAGACATAATGACATGAGAAAATGCAAAATATCTCTGTGTTCTGATACGCACGTAATTTGGGAAATCAGAGGAAGCCAATTTTGAAAAAGAAGTTTACCACCAAAAGAAATATTTGTAAAGTATTTAGTGGGAAATATATTTCTTGATGCAATACTTTTTAGTTCTGTGGATCCTTCTTAGAATTAATACCATAAAGTGAGAATCTACACTTACTAAATTGACCTTGATTTTGTTTTTCTCCAGGATGGATGCAACTTTAAAAGAGCTGACCAGTTTAGTGAAGGAAGTATATCCAGAAGCAAGGAAGAAGGGGACCCATTTCAACTTTGCAATAGTTTATACAGATCTTAAAAGGCCTGGGTACAGGTAATACAACTAATGGTAACAGAGAGTCTACACAATGTTGTTGGTTGCAACGTTTGAAAATTGTAGCATGCAATAGGGAACAAATATAATTAATATAATGATGTAAACGGAACTTAGTGTTTGTAAATTAAAGAGTCTTCTTACAGTAGTTAATTATATCCTTTTCCCTATCCTATAAAATATATTTGTAAAGCCAGGCAGGTGCTAAATAAGTATATATCTCTGAACTGTAGCTGCCAATTATTTCAGGAGAAAGCAGCTGATTTCTTTCAGATGGAGAAAGTTATTTGACCCTAGGAAAAATAATTCTTCTCTAAAGAAAATTAGAGCTTAAATTTGGTAGCCAGAAATGAGTGTTTTAAGTTGCAAATATCAGATGGCTAATTATGAGTAGGATTTTTGTACATTTAGAGAGCATCTGTTCTTCCAATGCAATTGCTTAGTTGTAGGGCAGCTTAGCATAAATTGAATAATTGTTTATATAATGTTCTCAAGACCACATTCAAGCTGTCTTTCTGAGTGCATGGTAGACATTTCTATAAATTTAAAGCATTAACTTTTAAGAGACATTTATTTGCATGCTTCCCAGTCTTTGTATTTGCAGTGGGCCATAAATTCAAGGCTGTATTGAAACATTACAGATAGCCTTAACTAATACTAAAAGGTTTAGGTGAAGATAATTAACATATGAAGTAAAGTCTATGACAGTGGTGGTGAACCTTTTACTCACCTAGTGGCAAACAGGTATGCACTTCATGCCTGCATGCTAACACGCAGCTTCTCCCCCATGGGCTGTGCATGCAACCACCATCTGCGTATGCACATGGCTTTCATGTGGCTCCCCCTGTGCGCAATCGCACCATCTGTGCATGCGCGCAGGTTTTGCACGGTTCCCAGAGCGCTGCATGCACAATCACACCATCTGCACGTGTGTGGTTTTTGTGCATGCATTGCAAACGCACGGCATCTACGCATTTGTGCGCTGCATGCAAGTATTCTCGCACGCATGTGCAAATGCACAGGAGAGCTCCGAAGACCAGCTGTGTCCCCTGAATAGCACGCATGTGCACCGGAGGCCTGAACACCAGTTGGGGCGTGCACGCATGCCCAGCTTTAGGTGAGTTGGGCAACAGCTCGCGTGCCTGGAAAGATGGCTCTGTGTGTCACCTCAGGCACACGTTTGCCATCATGGGTTGAAAATTATGGTTGAAAAGCTGCTGAGAGCAATAAGGCACACATCTAAATGGAGAGAAACCGTTAACATTGTTATAACGGACAAAGAAAAATCACCTGAACACACAGAACAGGATATATGCTTATCTCCAGTTTTCTGGCATATTTTCTTCATGCCCAGGGTCTTGATTTAAAGCTTTGGAGATCTCATATCAATCAGAATAGATAGTACTAAGGCAGAGGTAGAACATCTCAGGTTGAGCTTCATAATTATGTTCAACATGTTTTTCCTATTTTGTTTTTGAATAACCTGGAGGAAAATAATGTCCCCTTTGCTTCTTTCTACAGGGTGAAGGAAATTGGTAGTACAATGTCGGGAAGAAAGGGCACAGATGATTCCATGACTTTGCAGTCTCAGAAGTTCCAGATAGGGGATTACCTCGACATAGCAATTACGCCACCAAATCGAGCACCACCTCCTTCTGGTCGTATGAGACCTTACTAATACTTTAACTTACATCAGACTGCCATCTGTAGACTTTCACCGATTCGTTTTTGCATTATCGTACTGATTACTTTTTAAATGTAAAGTGAGAATACTAGAACATTTAGTGATCTTAAGGATTGATGTTTGAATTATGTTATTGTACAAGACGTGCCCTCAAGCTATTAGTTTCCTCTGTCAGGTTTTTTATAAAGTTGACCCAAGCAACACGGCTGTTTATTTCTGTATTTTTAAGAAAACTTGCTATGAAATAAATATGTCACTAAGTCTAACTTATTTATCATTAAAGGAATATGTATTTCATAAATATAATTTTATTGTAAAATGAACTAGAATATACATGGTGCTTATTCTTGCATCAACAATGCTGTAGTAAGTAAATATACAAAGAAAAATATGGACTACTCCAAGGATATATTACTTCTTTCATTTCAAGTGCCACATTCCAAAAAAGTTATGACATTGCTTTACTTTTCTGTCTGTAATGGTTTGCTCTCTCCCACTGTGAATGCACCAGGCCCCACCTCTCTGCATTATTGTGCGAAAGAAAAAACTTGGTAACTACAGTTAGTTTACCTATAAATAGTAGTGTGGCATTCAGTACCAAATTTTAAGTATGGGCAGACTAATTTCAATGTTAACTTTGGAAAACAGGAAGTTCAACTCTACCTCTTTTCCCTTTTTGAAACAAGGAAGAGAAGGAACTTTCTGTTGCAAGAAGACACACTTTCTTTTGTCAACAGAGGAAGCAAGCAATGTAATTTCCTTAGTAAAAAATCATTGCTGCTTATTCTGGAAGAGAAAAATTACTTCCTATTTAATATGTGAATGAACAGGCAATACTGAAAATTCTGCCACACTAAAGTTGCATAAAGAAAGTAGAGAGAAAAGTTGGGAGGACTGGGAGAAAAGAAAACACAGAAAGAGCAAAATAGTGGAAGCAAATGCAGTCAGGAGGTAGATTAAGACTAAAGGATGGGGGCAGAGAAAAATATGACTATCCTTAGATGGTTTCGAATCAGTCTGGAATTGCCCATCTTCAGCAGTCCAGGCTGTCTAATTCTTTCCTTTATACTTTCCCCTTGTTCCCCAAATTCCTCCTGTGTCAGCTTTTTATCTCAGTTTAACCCCCTCCCCAAAAAGTGAAAAACTATTTTCTCAGCTATTTCTAAGATCCTAGGTTATCAGCCATAAATACAGTCTGCATGTCTGAAATGCCACATGTCATAATACCTCTTGCCAATCACATTAGAGTCTATATCTGAGAAGGTGATGCTAATTCTTACTGTTGCATTTTTGCCCTTCTATCTAGGAAATGAAACTACTGGAAACATCTTTCTAAAATGTTGAAACAGTTCTAAATTTCTCATAGAATATTATTTTGACTGTAATCCTACTTTACTAATAATTCGAACATCTAATCACAAAAACCATACTTTCTATAATAGCTTCACAAAAGTATTAATTTAATCCCTAATATATTTTCTGGAATTGATAAATGCTGGTGAAGCTATTTTCTGTTAACTAGGCAAATGATTAGAAGCAATTAATGTTTACTTACATAACATTTTCCTTGGTAAGAATTAAGTGTAGCAATTTAAAATATTCTGTTCTGTATTGGAACATTAAAGTGCTAACATGCTTTAGTCAGATATTAACTGGTTCTATATCAAAGCTACTATAATCTTCTGAGAGAAACCCTGGCTTTATTCACTTGAGGGCAGATAAAATACTGAACTCAGGAATAAAACACAAATACAGGTAATCCTCAATTTACAACCATTTGTTTTGTAATAGTTCAAAGTTAACAGCACTGAAAAAGTTACTTGGACCGGTTTTCACATGACTATTACAGAATTCGTCTGGTCACATGATCAAAATTCGGGCACTTGGCAACTGGCATATATTTGACAAGCAAAGTCAATGGGAGAAGCCAGATTTGCTTAACAACTGCAGGATTCAAAAGACAACATGCTTACGAATAATTTAATCAACTGACAGCATATAAATGATATTTACTTATATTTATGTTCCTTATTTTATTTTGATAATTTTTACAGGAGAGTACAGAATAGTTTAAAATTAAACAAGTTATACTTCACAAAGTAAAGAACCTTTAGACTGGTAGTCAAAGAAAAAAAATCAGATTTAATCTTCATTTCATCCAGGGTATTTTCTGCAAATGTAATAATGAAGCACATATTACAAACCTGTTTTATTATCTTCAGCTATTAATAACTTGTTTCAATAGATACATTTATTTTACAAGGTTCTCAATTAGGGAAATAGCATTCTATTTGTGTTTCCATTTCCAGAGTTAGTTTTAATGGAAAACTGAAAATCATTATAGTTATTTCTCAGAACTTTTCATTCATTTCTTCCTAAAAAAATTGAGAGCTAGATTTCAATTGGCTTAAGAGCTGTAATGGCGCAGTGGTTAGAATGCAGTATTGTAGGCTAATTCTGCTGACTGTCAGCTGCCACCAGTTCGGCTATTGCATTCTCACCGGCTCAAGGTTGACTCAGCCTTCTATCCTTCCAAGGTCGCTAAAATGAGGACCCAGACTGTTGGGGGCAACATGAGTCTGTAAACCGCTTAGAGTGGGCAGAAAAACACTGTGAAGCGGTATATAAGTCTAAATGGTATTGCTATTCACTCCCATATCTTACCCACTTTCTGCCTTCTTCAGTGCATATTGCATATTTATAAGTAAAGTCAATCATATAAAAGCTTGTTTGATCTAATATTGTATTCTTGCATTAGCCAACCAAATGCCTATGAAAACCCTATATTACCAGACATAATGGGATTTTTTTATTTATTTTGCCCAAAGAGCATAACTTCACAAGTTTATATTATTCCATATTTGATATTTGGGGGCCCATTTTCCCACATTGGAAAGATCCCTCTGAAGTTCTTTTCAGTCCTTTTATTTTAATCATCTCATCCTAATTTGCCATTCTACCTGGCTCCCTTACTCTTTACTTAGACCACCGATGTCAAACTCTCGGTGTCACATTGCTGTCATGTGACGTTTCGTGACATTTTCCCCTTTCACGGTCCTGGGGTGGGCGTGGCAGCACGTGACACCCCACGGGCCGTTAGTTTAACACCCCTTGGAGCGTATTCATTTATAAACAAATTAATACTCAGCTCTTTAAAGGACTCATGTTTACATTTCATGTGAGAACTGCCCACTGTATTCCTACCTTCTACCTTTTCTTCTTTCATAATCCTACCCACTGGCTAGAGTGGCAGGACTTTATATCCAAAGCATCTGGGAAGGATGGGTACTTTGATTCTTTCATAATAGGCCTCCCCCCCCAGGAAATAATTGTATTTTTATTCAATTGACAAATAATGTTGGGAGATCATAAGCCACAAATTGATTTCCTGACCATAATGACTAGTGTCAAGAAAGTGTGAAAATGGCTTGTTTAGAGAAATGATACTAAGTGGATCATTATAGTTAGTTAAAATATTCAGTAAGATAGCTCATTAAAAATAGAATACATTATCCTTTGCTGTCATGCAAAAAAAAAAAAAAAAAAAAGCACTTGGGTTGACTTGTTTACAAGAAACAATGTTTCTTAGGATTTTTTGTGAAGCAGGCCAAACTAAATATTGTATATAAGGATATAGAGTACTACGTACACTATCAATGCACATCTTTTCTCCCCCCTGCCAAGATGGAATAAAAATTATTTGGGGAAAGGAAAAGGTGGCAGAAAAGTATCAGGCCAGCAAAGATTTTGGTTGGCCATTGTTTAGGGCAAAGATAAAATGTCTCAATTGCATGAAAGTGCAAAAGCCTCAAGTTTCAAAAACTCAGTTTTTAGTCACAAAATATAAGGGAAATTTACTTTTTGCTCAAATCTTACCTGTTTTCTTTGTTATCAGTAAAAAATCGCTTTTCTTCAAATTGTGAAGCATTTTCTTCTTTAGTTCCTTTCACAGCTGACCTGGGTACTTCTGTATTTGGATTGTACCGGGATAAAATCTAAATAAGTTTAAACAAGAGGAGAGTTTGAAAAAAGAAGGTTTCCAATTTTGCTGATAAAATGCTAACTTTAGTGCAAATTAATTTTGCATGTCAAACCTGCAAAAGATTCTTTGGAATCACAGTTATTTCAGGCGGTGGTAATGGTGAACTGAAGAGGTCCTCATATACTGACGTTGCTGGAGGAGAAGGTTCTTCAGTACATTCCAGACGTTTGTCTGAATCCAGGACAGGTTGAACACTGTGTTTTATAGGATTCTCTGGCAGTATCTTAATGGCACTTGCATGCTAGGAAAAAAAAAAGTACTGAATTTTTGAAACATAAGTTATATTTTTCAGAAAGTATCAACTCATTCAAGCAACCATTGAAATATTATTCTTGAGGCATACATACTATGGACTCAATATGAGACAGACATTTTATTAAGAGATTCCTAAAATTTGCCAGTATGGTGCTCAATACTTACCATAGGTTGTATTTGCTGAGATTTTGTATCAAGTATTTCTGTTGTGTGTTTAGGAATATCCAAATGATTACTTTCTGGTGACTCTGATAAAACAGTGGTCTTTCTGTGGGGAATTTTCATCCCAGGTGTGCGGAACTCAGGTGCAGCAGGTGAAGCGAAACAATCATGATCTGAAAACATTTGATCGATTCACACTGAAAACATGTTAGATTATGCAGAAAATGGATCAAAGGATTGGTTTTCATACTTTTCGTAGTATAAGACATACTTTTTTCCCCTCTAAGAGAGTGGAAATGGTGGTGCGTTTTATACACCGAATACAGCCATTTTTGGCCTCCCGAAACTCCACCCTGCATGTCCTGTTTTTACCAAAAACAGGCCCGTTTTTCGCAAAAACGGGATCTGCAGAGGGTTTGGGAGGACTGCAGAGTGCTCCTGGGGGCTGGGGAGGGCAAAAATACCTCACAAATCCCCCACGCATTGCGTTTTTGCCCTCCCCAGATCCCAGGAGCACTGTGCAGGCCTCCCAAACTCTCTGCAGTCCCCATTTTTGGCCTCCCAACCCCCCCTATGCATCGCGTTTTTGCACTCCCCAGCCCCGCAGAGCACTCTGCAGGCCTCCCAAACCCTCTGCGCATCCTGTTGCCAAAAAAAAAAAAAAAAAAAACCAGTTTTTGGCCTCCCAAACCCTCCCCCCCACATATCATGTTTTTGCCCTCCCCAGCCTCCAGGAGCTCTTTGCAGGCCTCCCAAACCGTCTGCGCATCCCATTTTTGCAGAGAACGACCCTGTTTTTTGCAAAAATGAGACACGCAGAGTGTTTGGGAGGCCTGCAGAGTGCTCCTGGGGGCCAGGGATGGCAAAAACCAGACGTACGGAGGCCAAAAAATTTTTTTCCCTTGTTTTCCTCTTCGAAATCTTGCTGCGTTTTATACTCCGGTGCGTCTTACAGTACAAAAAATACAGCACTTGCATGAAAAGGGAAGGCTTATTCAGCAGGATCAGCAGGGGACAGTGTAATGTGCCCCGTTATCTTCAACGATTTTTTTGCAAATTTGCAATTCCTGATTGTTTCCTTTTCCCCCTCTCATCCAGAACCTATTTGGCGATATCTGGGTGGTGGGGAGTAGGGAAAGTGTCCTTGAATAAGGAAGAGATCTGAGTTTTGATTTGAGGGCTTAGCAGAAGCAAGTCCAGAAACACTGCAGGATTTTCTTTCACAACAAGGGGTTTTTCATCAAATCCCAAATGTTGGATGAAATACATTAAGGCACTGTTTCTCAGCCTTGACATTCTGAAGCTGATTCTCAAGACTTCACTTACGAATACAAGATATCCCGGAAGTTATTTGACCTACATAAGACTTACCACTTGCTTCATTTGATTGCCTGAGTGCTGCCAGATTCTGATTTGACACCATTGCCCCTGCTGATCTGGTCAAGTTATTAGCAAAAGAAAAAAAATATTATTTAAATGACAGTACAACCAATATATATCAAACTTTTCCCAACTCTCTCAAAGGTGCTTTTTTTCAAGAGGCAACTGGTTTTTCTTCTCTTTTCGTTTCTCATCCAAGAAGCTTCTTCAGCTCTGACTGGATGGTAGGGAATGGAAGGATTTATATAAACCCATCAGAACTAGATTCAGCAGTCCATCTGCATTAAAAAGACAAAGACCATTCTTTTGAAGACAGCAAAGTCCACATTTTGGACAGAGGACCGCTGGTTTGAAAGAGGGGTCAAAGAAGCCATCTATGTCAAAACAGAACAGCCCTCTCTCAACGGGGAGGAATACGACATATCTCTAGTTTATAACACAGTTCCAAGAAAGTTCCACACCCATTTGCACCACTCAGGTGACCCTGATGGCACAGATAAACCTCCAGGTGGCCTTAACAATTGGCTAAAAGAATGCAAATGACCAGCTATCTGTAAGGTGTATAAATCCTTCCATTCCCCACCATCCAGACAGAGTTGAAGAAACTTCTTGGATGAAAAGCAAAACGTTTTAAAAGAAAAATCAGAAAATCCAGTTACCTCTTGGGAAAAAAGCATCTTTGGGACAACCATGACCTGGATGATTGAGAATCTCCATAGACACTTTCCCAAATATATTCAAAGATAGCTCAGCTTTGATTTCCAGTGGATTTGTGCTTCCCTACAAGGCCATGGCTTGCAAGCTAGGGATTTTTCCAAGTTTACAGCTCTTCTTTGAACAGCAGGTAAGGAGCTGAGAGGCCCTTTGCAACCTAAAGGTCAATTTTAGTACAGAAAGCTTTGCTCGCACCACAACAGCTTTGTTGTTGTTACCTCATGGCTTGTTTACTGCAACTGATCAACCTAGGACTGCCATAGAAGACATTTTGGAAGTTGCAAGATGATTGAGCATATGCAGGGCCCCAAATTCTTCTGGTCCACTCATGTAATATTACTGTTTTGAGAACTGCACCACTTGCCAGTTAGAAATGTTCCTGCCAAGTACATTTCAGTGTGCTAGTTACTACCTTTAAAGTCCAATATGGCTTAGCGCTTGTACTTCTCTGGATTGAATTTGCCCATTGTGTGAGATATAGTAGGGAGTGCTGCTTAAAGGGATCCTATGCTTGCATTTTTCAGGGATGTTCTACCTCAGAGACCATTCCACCCGCCATTAGTTTTGAAGAACCATGAAAATATGACTCTTCAGAAAGGTATTTGGACATGTTTGAACATTTCACATGCATGATTTCTGCACTAAAATACATCATGGCCTTCTTGTTTATCCTTCTGTCTCTTTATATTTCAATATTATGTTATTACTTAAAAGCTGCATGGAATTGTTCAGCGATGGGGTAGCAGAAATGATATACCTATGCATGTAAGAAGATAACAAAAATAGTAGTCTTATTGCTCCAGACATAAACGATACAAGAAGACAGAAAACGATAATCATTATACTTTTGTAATGATTTACCGATATACCACTTACCTATTTTTTCTTGATTTATTAAGCCAAAAGATTGTTTGGTCGTCCATTAAATTTGTGGTTTCATCATTTACAGACAGATCACGCCCGTGGATATTGAAATATTCTACTTTGGGTGACAAATATTCAGATTTATCCGCTTTCACCTCTTCGTTCTGGCTATGTGGAATGTGTACTGTGTCTGAAGAACTTGGAAGGGCATATTTTGAAAGCCCAAAATCTGAAAGTTGAGGAGTTTCCAGAAAACTATGAGATCCAGATGATTTTTGAGGAAAATCAAGAGGTTTTGGTTCTATTTGATCAGATAATGCTGATCCAGCGTTGATTTCATCATCAACCTTTATGGCTTTAAAAAGAGAATTGTCTCACTGAATATGGTGATAAGACCAAAAGTCAAGGAATATATCACAAAGTTGGATGCTTTTTTCTGTATAAATATTGTCCTTCTATCACTACCATTGCTTGCTCTGTAACCAAGGTTTGCTAACTGTACAACAAGGTTTCACCAATAAATCAAGCATTTTAACCATGCTTTTTTGAATAAGTAATAGTGACCTGATTAGTATATAAAAATAAGAGATGAATAATTCTAAAGCGAAAGCATATTATGTCTTGGCAATGTGTATATTCAAAGAGTTTAGGAGGATCATTTTTTAAATCATCTAATTTTTAAAAAGTGACAAAAATCTTTGGTTTTTTGCAAGCGGCCCTATGAAATCACTTTTAAACAAATACTTTGAATGCATTTACAATATAATGTAAATCACGAACCTTTTAATTAAGAGGTTCCTTGTTTAATATTATGATGCATCAGACTGCTTATATCATTATACTAATAGTTTTTATTCCATATATGTCCTGTACTTAGTTATAAGAGAATAAAAAATTCCGAACTGTTACTACTATTGCAAATGCTCCATCAATCCATCAATGCCACGGAAATGGGAATAATAAGCTACATAAAGATGACATTTTTTTTTTACAGAACTGAGGTCAGTAAACTTTGTATCATAGGAAAATTGGCAAAAAATTAAAATAAATTGAGCATATAGTTTTTTTTAGTACATATGCATATTATAGAAATTTTTAACTTAAACAGTGCCAAACCTAGCAGCAATGTCAAGATCAGATGATTCAAATCCATAGAAGATGAAGAGTGATATATAGGCTTTGCCAAGCTGAAGTGTCTATCCTTTTTAATATTAGTAATGCACACAGAAATAAATTATAGAGTATATTAAAACACCAAATATTCTAGATTGAGGGGGAAAATTACCTTCATTCTTGCCAATAAGTGGCTTGTAACCGTATTTCTGAAAGAGATCTTTTATTTTTTCAAGATTGGTTGCATTTCTCATCATCAGAACTTTGCTGGCCTTTATGAAGTCGTATGTAGCCTCTCTTTCTGAAGAACTTGTATGTAGAATATTATCAGCATCAGCCTATGATTTGTTTTTGAGTTAGAATTTATGATTATAAAGTAATAAACATTGTCATATGTGTGTGTGTGTTAGTAAGCTACATGTCAGGTTTAGCATAAAAGCTGTTTATTACATAGAAGCAGCAACAAAATTTCCTATGTTTTTCATTTTAATAAAAACAATTTAAAAAACATGTCTAGTTATGACCATGCTATCCAAAGCTACTTGTGTTTTTAAAGAATAAAGCTATCATCTCCTAATAGAAGAGTTTAGGATTGGTGGGTTCTCTGGAAATATTATACAATGGAAGGTTTCAGGAGGCATGGTATAGAAGAAATCAGGTTTTCTATCTTGGGGAATATGAAATACTATCATGGGATATTACCTAACACAGAGAAGGCAACTTTCACACATACTAATCTTTCACTAAATCACATACTAATCTTCCACTTTAAACACATTTAATATAAACGTTCTAGAAAAGCAATTTGAAGGTGAAGAGAATAAAGAGAAGCAGGTCATATCTACCTTTAGTGTTCTGGCTTCAGAGTACAGTTCATGTAGATATCGCATTGGAGAATCATCTTCAAATTCTTCAAAACATTTGAAAATAAATAATCACCACCAATATCTTTAGAAAATGATGTACAACCCTGTACTCTGATGTTTGTTATTTAAAAGATGAGATGTTCTAATCCAGGCCCATGCGGGCCTGGATGGGGAGAAACAGGCTCCGACTCAATCCTTCCAAGACCGAGTGGCTGTGGCTTCCGGCGTCCTGATATAGCCAGCTGGTGCCATCGCTGGTTATTGGGGGCGAATCATTGGCCCCCACAGAAAGGGCTCGCAACTTGGGCGTCCTCCTGGATACACGGCTGTCTTTAGAAGAGCATATGACGGCCGTGGCCAGGGGGGCTTTTTATCAGGTCCACCTGATACGCCAGTTGCGTTCCTTTCTAGATCGGGACTCCCTATGCACGGTCACTCAGGCACTCGTCATTTCCCGCCTGGACTACTGCAATGCTCTCTACATGGGGCTCCCCTTGGGGTGCACCCGGAGGCTCCAGTTGGTCCAGAATGCAGCCGCGCGGGGGATTATGGGAGCGACGGGGCGCTCCCATGTGACACCTCTCCTGCGTGAGCTGCACTGGCTTCCTGTGGTCTTCCGAGTGCGCCTCAAGGTGTTGGTGACCACCTTTAAAGCACTCCATGGCTTAGGGCCGGGGTATCTACGAGTCCGCCTTCTGCCGCCAATAGCCTCCCACTGGCCAGTTTGCTCACACAGAGGGCCTCCTCAGGGTGCCGTCGGCCAGACAATGTCGGCCGGCGACCCCCAGGGGGAGAGCCTTCTCTGTGGCGGCACCTGCCCTCTGGAACAACCTACCCCCAGAGATACGCACGATACCAGACCTTCGGACTTTTCGTCGGGCCCTGAAAACACATCTATTTCATCTAGCCAGGCTGGCTTGACCCCATCCTTGCGGTTTTAAATTTATAATTGGTTTTAACTGGGTTATTTTAAATTGATGGCCAAAATTATTTAATGTTTTTTAAATTGCTTTTAAATTTTATATGTTGTGTTTTTACCGTAGCTGTTCACCGCCCTGAGTCCTGTTGGAGAAGGGCGGTATACAAATAAAATAAAATAAAATAAAAATCAGAAATTAGCATTGGTTGGGAATCCTAGGAACATCACTATGATCTTCAGAAATGTACCAATGAATGCAAAGAATATTTCTTTTGAAATGAACTGAATCAGAAACATAACAATGTTCTAGTTAATATCTCATATGCAGATTGACACTGTGTCCAAATTTACACAGTGTTGTTTAAGCCAAAATGCAAGTTGTTTGGTTTTGCCTTAGCAGAAGCTTTCTGAAGCAAAGCAATTATTTACTACATTCTCACCTTCATCTTCTAGTAAAATTTGCTTAAATTGCTCAGCCTGCTTCTCCAAAGTGACTGCCAAAGTTCGCAGTTTGTTGAAGAATGTTCCTGTTACATCCATACTGAAGAAAAGCTAACAGCTTATTTCTAAGATGAATTTCAGAAAGAATATGAAAGTTTTCAACTTATGTTAAACACATTAAAATATTTTGAAAAAAATATTATAGCTTAGAAATAGTTGAAACAGCCTTTCCATACATGCAGATTTATTTAAAAGGGCACAGTTGATCTAGCAGCACATATATTTGTTATCTAATTCTAGATGTTTTCCCTCTATGTTGCATTTCTATTGTGGAAATGCTGCTTTCCTCCCAAGCCCTAAACAAATCACCATGTATTCAGAAAAGATTAAAGGGCTCTCCCACAAAGCATCATCATTAGGTTTGGCTACTGTGATGTGCTCTACATAGGGTTGCCCTTGAAAAACCTGTCAGAAGCTTTACCTGGTCTAGAATATAGCAGTGCAAGCAGAGAGATGTACTGTTGCCAGTTGGCTTTGGGTCCAATTCAGAATGAAGGTTATTGCCTATAAAGTCTTATCTTGTATCAAGTTAGGATATTTGAGGGATCACCAATTTTCCCTGGTTTCTACCTGGCCAAGTATGTGCCCACCATAGTTGGAGACTTCTGGGCTCCTTTGATTAAACAGTGTCATTATCAGGATCCAGAAAGTGTGCCTTCTATGTCACGGCATCTGTCCTCTGGAATGAAATTCCCCTGAAATCCATGTCACTCCCATCCTGTTGGTGTTCCATAAAGCCTTCAAGACCTCATTGGAGTGAGAGGTGGGGCTCTTTTAGGTCTGTCTTTTTTTTTTTTTTTTTTGGTCTGTATACGGATAGTCCTCGGCTTACAACAGTTCATTTAGTGACCATTCAAAGTTACAACGGCACTGAAGAAAGTGACTTATGACCACTTTTCACACTTATGACCTTTATAGCACCCCCATGATCGTGTGATCAAAATTTAGATGCTTGGCAACTAGTTGATACTTATAGTATGACTGTTGCTGTGTTCCGAGGTCACATGATCCCCTTTTGTAAACTTTTGACAAGCAAAGTCAATGGGGAAGCTAGATTCACTTAACAACCGGGTTACTAACTGATCACCTGCGGTGAGTCAATTAACAGCTATGGCAAGAAAGGTCGTAAAATGGAGTGAAGTTCACTTAACAAACATCTCACTTAACAACAGAAATTATGGGCTCAATTGTGGTTATAAATCGAGGACTACCTGTATTGTCTCCTGCTCCCATTCTGGTTTTTATTTGTACGAGCATTTATGTCATTATTTGCAAATGGCCCAGTCACTTGGTGTCTAAACTGGATTAATACAAAAACAATAAATAACCTTATCCTCCTAATGGAAAATAAAATGGTACCGTGCACATCTCCAGACACAACCTTTCTCCATCTGTAGATTGGTACAGTTTCAACACCCCAATTTTTAGCACATGCAGGAGCACTGCATTTATTCTGGGGAAGAAAGCATTTACCTTATTATCTTATTATTTTCCTTCAAAAGACAAGAGGGCTGCTTGAACAAGAACTGCAGGAAATCCGTTTTCGGGAGCCCGAACAGCCTCGCCTCCTCCCTCAAGACAAGAGGCACTCTAAGCCTTTCCTGAATACCTCCGGTCATTCGCAGGAGCCGCCGAAATGAGGGAGAAACACGCCTCCGCAGCTCGCCAAGACTGCCGACACAACGGGCGCCGCTCTTTCGCCTCAGGACCGCAGCGGGCAACTTCTTTCCTTCGCGGCCTTTTGAATTCCCTGGGACGGCGGGCACCGATTGGCCCACTCCGGCTCTGCCCGCCTCCTTATTGCAACCTCGTGACGTAGGCAGGCCAGTTCGCATTTACCTGCCTTTTTTTTTTTTTTTGCTGCGCCCTTTGATTCGGTGCTCTCGCGAGAGGCGAGACTTGAGGGTCTCGTTCAGCGCAGCGGCCTTCGGAGCGCTATTTGGCTCGACCCGGGATCGGTCGTGGTGAGGTGGACGCATCGACGAGGCCCGGCGAGTTGGGAAAGGCCGGGTAGGAGCCTTGAGGAGGCAAGGGAACGTGCGGCGGCCCGTTGCTTCATAGACGAGGGACGACGCTGTAGGTCAGTAATAAGAATCGTGGTGGGGGCATCGCGGTTGAGGTGGCAGCCGGCCATTGCGCTGTGAGAGGGGCGGCTGTTTTCTGCAAAAGCTTCAACATTAGCCCAGTGCAGGGGCGGGCAGTTGTGGCTCTTTTACAACCTGTGGACTTCAACTCCCAGAATTTGCCAAGGTCGAAGAAAAAAAAAAAAGTGGAATACAACATGAACTATATTTATATCCTGGTTTTATGTGGGTTGAAGAAGGTAAGAGTCTTTAACAGAATAGCAGAGTTGGAAGGGACCTTGGAGGTCGTCTAGTCCGACCCCTCCTCAAGCAGGAGACCCCGTATCCTCCATCAAGTGGCTGTCCAGTCTCTTCTTAAAAGCCTCCAGTGATGGAGCACCCACAACTTCTGAAGGCAAGCTGTTCCACTGGTTAATTTTTCCCAGTGTCAGGAAATTTCTCCTTATTTCTAGGATGATTCTCTCCTTGTTTCATCCCATTGCTTTTTGTTCTGCCTTCAGGTGCTTTGGAAACCCTCTCCTCCTCTTTGCGGCAGCCCCTCAAATATTGGAACAGTTAGTCCTTTTTTTCTCTAGCCTGGCCAAACCCCAGTTCTTCGTATGTTTAACCTCCAGGCCCCTCATCATCTTTGTTGCTCTTCTCTGCACTCTTTCCAAAGTCTCAAGTTTTCTATAATGTGGTAACCAAAACTGGATACAGTATTCTAGATGTGATCTTACAAAGTCTTTATTAAGCAATACTAGTACTTCACATAATCTTGATTTCTATCCCTCTGTTAATGCAGCCTAGGATTGTGTTGGTTTTTGAGGCTGCTGTTGCACACTGCTGGCTCTTATTCAAGTGATTGTCCACTAGGACTCCAAGCTCCCTCTCACAGTTACTGCTATTGAACCAGGTTTCACCTAATCTGTATAGCAGGACTGTTAAACTTGCGGCCCGCAGGTCAGATGTATCACACGCTGGCCTCGCCCACGCCTGGTTTAGTGAAGGGGGGAAAAAAAGTCCCGATACGTCACGTGACGCCACTGTGATGTGAGTTTGACACCCCTGCTGTATACTGTTAATTCCAATGGTAACTTTTCTTTCAATGCAAATTGAAAAATATTAATCGAAATAATTAAAACACCTGTATCTTTCACACCAGTACACCTATTGGCATCAGTGTGCAAATTTAATGTGACATTCCCATTACTGTTCATTTCGTGAAAGCAATTCATCTAATTTTCTTTTCTTTCAAGGAGCCCTTTAGATTCGGTATTGATAGAGATATAATGGTTCATTAAAAAAAACTTGAAAAAGTGAGCTTTTGATTTCTTCCCCCTTGCCTTTTTACTCTCTTGAAAAAAGCGAAAATATCTCATTTGTTTTTATGTTGTTCCAGAATCTGGCAAAAACCTTGATTTTCCAAAAGATCTTTGGAGATTAGCTGTCGAGCCACAAATGCCTATATTATTCTAATACATTATTAGGGATTTGTATTATGATATTTTTAATTTCTGTAAATGATCTGGAACCTCTCCAAATTGAGGGCACAAATTACTTAAATGTAACATAAAAATTAATTCTGTTCTTTGCTAATGTAAGTAATACATTGACTTAGAATGTTTATACACTTAATATTTCAAATAGTTAACATTTCTTATTTCTTTTTACAGGCATGTTTCTGACTCGAGTACTGTTTCGAAACAGAATTCCTGGAAAACAATGGATTGGTAAACACAGACGGCCAAGATTCATTACTCCTGTAATGAAGGCAAATATGATTGGGAGACTTGAAATTGAAGCTGAAAATGAATATTGGCTAAGTTGTCCATATATGACAAAAGAGCAGGAGTATCGCCATGATGAAGAAAATGTATCTGCGTTAAGGCAACAAAGAATAGCTGAAGAGAGAGCAAAGTTTCCTGAACACAAGTATGTTTCAGAATATCTGAAACACCTTAATGTGACAAAGAGATGGGCAGATTCTTGATGTGTGTCCTTTGCCATTCTAACGGATTTTATGGATTCAATGCGCTAGCTTTTAGTGACAATGAAACAATGCATAAATAAATATATTCTTGTTTTCAATCAGCTATTAGCTTCATAAATACATAAGTTTTTCTACTAAATTATGTATGCTTTTTTTTCCTTTCAGAGTTTAGTGCTATTGTTATAAAAAGGATTTGAGGGTTGTTGTTTTTTTTTAAATCTCTAAAAGCTGGCTTTGCCTCCTTTTATTTCCATTCCTCTATTCCCTAGAAAATAAAATCTCATAAACCATGTATCTACTTATATATTCAGAGGCAGAAACCACAAAGAACATTCTCATTTTATCCATTTTACAGTATATGGCAGTGGTTCTCAACCTGTGGTCTGCAATGTTATCAGGGAGTCCGTGAAGGCTTCAAGAAATGTTATGATTTAAATCTTTAGGGTCTTTGGTCAAAAAAACATATTTAAAGAGGACGTGGGGTGAAGAAAAGGTTGAGAATCACTGGTATAAAATCAACTTTCCGGATTGGAAGTATATTTTGATGTAGTATAGTCACCCGATTGAAAGAGTTATTAATGCATGGCTAAAGTAAGGCTAGATACTTGTCAGTGGTACGGGCTCAGTAAACATCTTATTTGGAAGACGCTAATTTAGGGTATGTTAAAGCCTAAAATATGCCCTTGAAATATTAGTAACAGAAAAGACACCAAATAATTTTAAAATTTTAATCATCAGTTAATGAGTGTTGTCCTAATTGAATTAAGAAGTGGAAAAGATTTGCTTTTAAAACTCCCCAGGCAGTGCATAAAAATGGCTGATACATTTTTCATTTCAATAGAGGCTAAATGCATTTTAATGCCTTTTCTCTTTTTTATGTCCCTATTCATTTATGACAATGCAAAATAAATAACTGAAATCGAAATATAGCAGAAAGCCTGTTCCCAAGTTATTTATTTTCTTATGCATTCATTATGTCATAACACATTAATGCATCATCAATTTGGCAAAGAAGGGCTTGAAGATTATGCTTTTTAAAAACAGTTATAATTAAGACATGATCTGTACTTTGATATACAAAAGTCAAACATGATTGAAAATTAATTACACTGGTGGAAAATATACATGAAGATATTACAAGGTGCAGTTAAAAATAGGAAAATTTCAGGCAAATTGATCTCTCTTACATAGTTCATTTATAAAAGCCCATTTAAAAAGTCTTTATTAAATTATTAGTGGCAATATGCTTTTTCTGTGCATAGGAATACTATCTGCAACATAAAGAACAGATGCATCATTCACATGTATCCTCTAAGTATCCTCATACCATTTTAGATTTGAATACTTGCAAGCCTACTACTACAACAGAGAGATCTATAAGTAAAATATCTGCATACACCTTTGTCATAATAACAGTGCAATGGGTCTGATGTACCCACTGGTATATAACACAGGTTGTGGCAATTTTGGCCAAACAATGCCATTCTATTAATTTATACTGGGGAAAAACAAGACATAATGGATAGTGATTCCGTAATTCCCTATAATGTGCAGTCTTGAGTCATATAGTTGTCATGTTAACAAAAATAAGTACAACTTCCGGTAAATATATTTAGGATTAAGGTAAAAGACCACTCCTTAAACTGCTTCCTGAAGCTTTCCTAGTGTAATTTAAGAATCCTGGGAGATACTAGGATTGCAATAGAATATAAGTTATTTGATAGTTTATTAGTTCTTTGGTACCAGGAAACAAAAATGTTATCTCAAAATATGATCAAAGTATGAGCCATTTAATTGCTGTTCCATGTTCCAAAAGCCATCTTTAGTAATTTATTTTGTAAACATGGAGTCTCATGCTATTACAATTTTCAAGTATAATCTGGAAAATACACATTGGATTTTTAAGACTAACTGAAAACCTGCTTTTATAATACAGGTATATAAGATACATTTTTTGGTAGCTATGATCTAAATGAAATTGTATACAGTATTGTAAATAGTGTTATTTAATTGCTTGGACCTTGTCACTACATTAATAGAAAATTACAAAAATAACAATTGCTAGGACATTTCTCCAACACAGGATGCCAGAGATCTGTTTAATCAAGTGCTGTTTTAAGCCTTTTCTATTAATCAAAATTCCTTGGAATAAGAAATCATAATTACTAGAAAATACTTGTCTTATTTAAAACTGCAGCATAAAATCTAATTTATAATAGCAGCCAGTAAATCAAGTCTTAAGTCTCTAGAACTAAACATAAACAATAACTGGGAAGGGACTTCCTAAGGCAACCAAGAATCTATGCTTACAATATGCAAGCTATAATTCCCCAAAATGAATGTACATAAAAAATTTCTAATTATACCATTACACGTTCATTAGCAAAATGCTTTGATAAAGCACTTAAATAAAATCTATACATCTTCCAATACAATCGGCATGATATATCATACTCTTTGGTATAATTTCTTGAAATTAATAAGGTTTTCTACCTGTTAGTTACAGTTCAGTACTATAAACACTTTTCTTTCTGACCCAGCATATAGATCAGGGCTGTAAAACTCCTGGCCCATGGGCCTGGTGCATCCCATGCTGGCCACGCCCACACCCAGTTCAGCGAAGGGGGAAAAAGTCCCGATACATCATGTGATGATGCTGGGATGGCGTAAGTTTGACACCCCTGATATAGATGATTTCACTAGTCACTGTTCGAATTTTTTTCAATGGCTTAATGATTGCAAAATAATTTAAACTACTAAATATTGCCAACATAGTTTTAAATTTACTCCTAATTATTACTAGACATAAATGCCAAACAAATAAGTACAAAGAGCTATTATTTCTATATATACTTTACTCAGAGAACCCTGTAATCCATTCATTTTTACTGATGCATTTGAATTTGAATTTATCTTTTAAGACTATTTTTGCTGTAGTCAAGTTATTGGTGTAATGGTATGTGACAATGACTGGGAGATGGGAAGAGCCACAGCCAGGGAAATGATTGGACAAGAGGCAGCTTAGCCTAAGGAAGCTATGTGGGTATGGCAAACATCTCAGAAGAAACCCTTCCTAGTTTCCTGGACCAAAAAGGCAACAGCAGAGACATATACTTTCAGAGCTGCAAGACTGATGTCAGCCTTACAAGATGGTCCAGAAAGGAAGCACACTCATGAGCTAAATATAAACCTCACAAGGATGACATCAGTCTTGCAAAACATCTCTCCCTTGTCATCTTTAAGGTCCAAGAAATCACAGAAGGTCCTTTCTGAGACGGCCACATCTACATTGCTTCCATGGCCTAAATTGCTGTTATCCAGGGGTGAAATGCTCCCGGTTTGGATCGGTTCAGCCGAACCAGTAGCGATGGCAACCGGTGGTTCGAAGAACTGGTAGCGATGGCGGTGTGAGGATCCGCCCGCCCGCCCAGTTGTTACTTCCTGATTTTAGCCAGGAAGTAACCTGCTTTTTACCCTTTGCGTATGTACAGAAGGGTTTGCACATGCACAGAGGGTCCAAGCGCGCTCGTGACGCAGTGCATGGACTTCCGAATCGGTTGGGAAGGTAAGTAGATTTCACCCCTGCTGTTATCCAACTCTTCCCCTGGCTGTGGCTCTTCCCCGTCTCTCAAGATCCTTCCCACATATCATTACAATTAGTTTGCAATAACTGATCTTTCCTATGTACTAAATAATTTAAGAGATAATGTATTTGCCGTAACCTCTAGGTGTGGATTTGCAGAATTTGTACTGTGTTCTAACAGTCTGACTTCCTTTTATTTTATCCTCCCTATATCTAGCTGTACTAGATAGCACTAATTCATAGCACGGAACCACATTATCTGACCAAGAGGGTAATGAGACCTTGAGCCTAACTTGCACTGTAAAGATAGGATGCAGCATTGAGTCACAAGAACTGCACAATGTATTTTATTTCTTCTCGTTTTAGAAATTAATTTGGAAAAGCCACATTGATACATATATTTTGCATTTCATTTTACCTGTTGTTTACTCAAAATCAGTTTTTTAAAAATATATCACTTGCACAAATTTTGTTTTATGGATTGAAATAAGAAATGTAGAACAGTTGAGATACAACTGATGGTAATAGATTTAAAAGTATATATCAGGACAGGAACTCCTATACAACCACAGAGTGAGAGAAGAGATTATCCTCTTCAAAATCTTTCTCAACCTTAGCAACTTTAATATGGACACCAGCTCCCAGAATTGTAGGAGCTGAATTTCTAAATCTGCCAACATTGTTAAGGGTCATAATAATCAGAACATTGCTTGGAGGATTGGTGATTTGTGGTAAAGGAAATTCATGCATATAGTTCTTGTCAGAGTCAAGCATCCAGTGTCTTCCTATCCTCTAACACAGAGCTGTCAAACTCCCGGCCCATGGGTCGGATGTGTCATGTGCTGGCCACGCCCACGCCCGGTTTAGCGAAGGGGAAAAAAGTCCCAATATGTCACGTGATGACACTGTGACGATGTGAGTTTGACACTCCTGCTCTAACAGATTAATGTAAATATTTACCGTTGTACTGAAAGTATACATCAGTATTTATTGTTAAAGGATAGGATTAGATCCAAGATCAAAAAGAGATAGAAAAGACGGGGAATCCTGAACAATGAAAGCAGATGGCTGTGAACAAGGTCCCCTTTCCTCAGTTCCTTCCCTAGTTCACTCAATGTTCTTAGTGCAGAGAATTATGAAATCCAATCCCTCAATAACACTTTCATGCCAGCTTATTTTCTATTTAAAAAAAACAAGAACAGAAAGAAAAAGAAAGGAATGATTTCTGTTCATGGCTGAATAACCTGCAGACTTCAGAAAGAATATGTATATTGGGGATAGCAGGCAAAAAATGCTAACAAATAAAATTAGCAATTATTAAAGATTCTAAAACGGGAAGGGAGAACATCACTTTTCCATGTTTCCAAGAAATTAAAATATCAGATTTCTTACAAATACTGACCAAAATTGCTCAGGAAAATAATTTTCTCAATTAGCACTTCAAATTGCTAGAGAGCTGAGAAAGAAATCTTGCTTCTCTAATACTGTACAGTATTGTAACAACACTGTATTACAACAAATCAAGCCTGAAAGAAAAGGACTTCGATTATCAGAGAAAGTTAGAAAGTCAGTTTTTGATTGGCTGCTTTACAACACTTTTACCATTACTACTGGTTAACTCATGATGGTTATGGGAGGGAAAAAAACAAAACAAAAGTACCAAATATCAGTAGTCCACCAGATGATGATTGAGCCACATATAACTATTGTAGAATGTTAATGGTGAAATGCTACAGTAAACTATATGACTACCCTTTCCTACCCCACTTTTCTTCCACAGAACTGTTACGAAAGTAATGATACCAGCATGGCATTGCTTCACACATGAAGTTTGCAGAATCAGTCACTACTACAGTGCAGCTGGAATGCATAGTTTCTGCACTTCTGAGTCTTGCGGACCCTTGCAGGGCATTTGAGAATTTGGCCCTTGTAATAGCTTATGTCCATGTTGCAAAAATGCACATCACGAATCTTAAGGCATCAGACTTTCTGCACCGGAAGTGCTTATAAGCATCCACTGGATACCATCAACAATCTCATTTTCCGTGTCTTGTTAACATGCTGGAACTGTTCCACTGATTTATTGGTGTCTTCCTTAAAAAAATAATATCCAAGCACAAATGTATTGTAGAAATCTATTTGGAAAACAAACTGTATAAGTATTGTATTGAATAAAGATAAGTAAAGGCAAGTAAAAGACACGGCTAATTCTGCACCGAAAATGGGTTTCTCTGCTATGAATTGCTGTATGTAAGAAAAGCTTTCCAGAAAAGATACTAAAACACATATGAAACCTGGGCTGCCACTTGCTTTGCTAAATCAGCTTTCTCTTGCCAAACTAGCTGTTAATTTACAAACTATTATTATTTTTATACCGAAGAGGCTTCTACTCTGTCAATGCTTTGCAAACCTTCCATCTTCTCTGGAGTTCTTTATCTGTTTTTTGGATTTAGCCTGCAACTTGATGAAATCTATCTACTGTTTTCGGAAAAAAATCCAACATGGGGTGTTTAGTATCAATACAGAAATTTGGATTTAAAGCAGCATTTGCCCTTATTTCATACACTTATGTTCATTTCTTTTGAAGAACAGAATTAAAAACTGCTAAATTTGGAAGCAGCTCAAATTAAATTAACGTTTAATATGCTAACCTTGTGGAATGAAGTGGTAAAAATAAGCTGACATTAAAAAATATGCAAAGTAAGAAAGAAAATATTTTATTATTAAGTGCTACTCAAGGTTAGCCTATGGTGTAGCCCATGTTTTCTTTCCTGTTTACATAAAAGATTTTGGAATCAAAGTCATATTGACTTTTCTGAGTATAGATTTTCTTACCATTTCTCCTTCTCTGAAAGAAATGGATACTGAGATAAGATCAGCTCTCCAATGAAACTATAATATGTTTTTTTACACCTGAAAAAGAAGAAGAGTCTGGTTTAGAGGTTTTAGACATCAGAAGCAAAGGAGGGCGCAATTACTACTTAGTTTAGAATAGAATGAGCTGGAAGGGACTTTGGAGGTCTTCTAGTCCAGCCCCCTGCTCAAGCAGGAGAACCTATACCATTTTAGATAAGTGACTGTCTAAATTCTCATTAAAAACATCCAGTGAGGGAGTGCTCACGATTTCTGGAGGCAAGCTGTTCCACTGGTTAATTGTGCTCACTGTTAGGAAGTTTCTTCTTAATTCCAGGTTGCTTCTCTCCTTGATTAGTTTCCAACCATTGTTTCTTGTCCTGCCCTCTGGTGCTTTGGAGAATAATTTGACCCCCCCCTTCTTTGTGGCAGCCCCTCAAACACTGCAATACTGCTATCATGTCACCCCCAATTCTTCTTTTCTTTAGACTTCTTCATGTTTTAGACTCCAGGCCTTTGATCATCTTAGTTGCTCTTCTCTGAACTTTTTCCAAAGTCTCTACATCCTTTTTGTAGTATGGTGACCAAAATTGGTTGCAGTATTCCAGGTGTGGTCTTATTAGAGTTTTATAAAGTGGTACTAGTACTTCACGTGATTTAGTTGTGTTTTGTTTGCCGATATTCACTGTCTCCTCTGCCAGGTGTTTTAATTATTTTAATAGTGATTATTTATAGTTTGAATAATGATTGTTTTTATGTATTTATTGTTTTAATTGTAGTATGTTGCTGAGAATCTTTTTATGAAATGGACGGCCATATAAATTTGATAGATCCTCTCCAGATATTTGTTTTCAATAGGAATTGTGAAATCCTTCCCCAAGATGGCTGCTGCCCAGTAGGAAGAGTTTTCTCACTTGCTGATGATCTGCTGTTTTTGTTGCCAAAGCTGGTTCTTTGGCAATGTTGGTCCTTGGATTTGAGTGGAGGAACTTACGAATAACCCAAGATGACTTTTGGATGGCTGTGGACCCACCTGGGAAGGGGGATCTTGAAAATTGCAGTTCCCTGTGGGAACAGCCAGAAAGTCATTGGTATTTTATCAAACTTTTCCTATCAGCAGACCGTTCTGGAAAGCAAGCCTGCTTAGTTTTTTAATCTTTAAAAGGTAATTGGTTAGCTGAATGCTGATTTATTTCAACCCCCTGATGGATTTTATCTGTTCTTTTTTGTTTTTTTCTTTTGATGTATTTGGCTGTTTTCATTAACTTCGGCTTTTCCATATGGAAACATGGCCCTTCTTTGGGTAGTGAAAGTGCTTTTACATTTTTATTGGACATTCACCACAAGGATTTTTTATTTTATCACTTTGCAAAAAGTTTGGAGTTTATTTTTCTTAATCCTTTTTAATTTTGGATCAAAATATCCAGAAAACATTCTGTTCTTTTCTCTTTTTCCTGTTCTTCTCCGAAGAACTCTTACCTACCACACTGAATAACAATATATTGGATTACAGACAAGGAGAGGAGGGTGACACTCAAGAAAAGACTGCTTGGCAACATGCAACTCTTAGCTGAAAGCTTTTTTAAGAAGTTTGATGAACTCATAACGACTGTGGACAACATTCAGAGGCAAGTGTCTGTAAATAAATTAAACCCACAAAAAGAATGTGATTTCAAAGGAGTAGATTTGTTGGGAAAAAGTATGAACTCAGACTTAGAAATAATAGAGTTGACTCCATACACCTCCCTGAAGTTCAAGCCTGCACTTTTATATAACAGTAGAAAATAGTCTGGGTGAATAAGTTGTAAATTGGTCTTTTTAAAGTGGAATGAAGGAAGTTGGGGAATATATTTATCACATTTAACTAGGGACCAATTTCATCTGAACCTTTTTGGGAGAACAGACTGGCTTTGGAGATTGGACATATTGTATTTAATCAGACAACACTTGGTAAGATATAGTATTAAGAAACAAACATGGATATTTGATCCAGGATCAATCAGGGTTAATTTTTGGAATGATTTGTGATAGTTAAGAAGCTGTGGTAATTTTTCTACGAATTGATTACCATAAAAATTCGTTAACAGAGGTTTTTGGAATTTTAATCTTGTCTTTTTTATTATTACTGTTCTTCCTGTTAAGTATTTTGTTATTAATACTGCATACAGACAATAGGTTAACAACTTGTAAATAGAATTCATAATTTAAAATTCTGTGGGGCTGTTTTGCAAGGGGTGGGAAACTAATATTGTTGTATTAATCAGCATTCAACTAGGGAGGACAATATGTGTATATGTGTTAATCTTTTTTTAACGCACCTTTCTCCTTTAAAACTCTCTTCTTTGTTCTCTGTTTTTCTTTTTAATTTTTTTGGGGTCTTTTGTATTTTAACTTTTTTTTGAATAAAATAAAAATAGATTTAGAGAAAAAAAAAAAAAAACAAATTGTGAAATCCTGCCCTGTAACAAGCTGCCATAATTATGCATACCTGATTTAACAGTTTCATCTTCTGAACTGACCTCCACCCACTGGTTATCACTGGCGAGCAACCGATTTTGAGATTCACTGAGTGGCCTAGTAGGAAATGGCTGACTAGTAGAAGAGCTGAAAAATAAAATTTCTGTTAGAGAGAATGGATTCCCACAAAAGTTCACTCTTGCAATTCTTCGTGAAATATGTTTAGAACTATACTCTGTTGCTTCTAATTATGTACTCCTATAGCCCAACAGTTCTGAGCTGCAAGCCTTGAATGATTTTAGATTTTTCTTTTTTAAGAGTTGCTGCCGTCATCTAATGGTTATTCAGATTTCCAACGCTCAGAATTGTAGCCCTAACTGCTGTATAACATTCATGTTTAGCCTAAAGAAAAATAACTCTAAATTTATGAGAAAACCCAAAAGCAAGATTAGATTTTTAAAAAAATGATCACAAATATAATACTCAGACACCTTGAACACTGTTGCTTTATTTTGCCAAGCAGGATTACTAACTTCTGTAAAAAGCAATCTTGGAAATAGTTCTTCCAACAAATAGCTAAAGTTGTTCAGAGGCTACCTATCAGGGATATTTTAATTTGGTTATTGATTGGACCAGTGGTGGGATTCAGCCAGTTCGCACCACTTCGGGAGAACCGGTTGTTAACTTTCTGAGCAGTTTGGCAAACTGGTTGTTAGAAGAAATCATTAGGGCAGAGAACCGGTTGTTAAATTACTTGAATCCCACCACTGGATTGGACTCAGTGGCTTAAATGCTACTTTCAGACTTTGAAAGAGACAGCTAGAAACTTTTTGTTTCTAATTTCTCCACTTGCACATCAAAAACAGGTGGCAAGAATCCAATCTAGGGCTCAGCAAACTTCACAGAACAACAACGAAATACAAAGTCAAAGGAAAAGTAGTCAAAAAGATTTTCTGCACATTTTCTGTTAAAACAATTTAACTTAGTAAGTTTCCAATACACATCTCCTATTTATTTATTCATTTGATCTGCCACAATCAGCAAGAAATTAATGTACAATTATAATAAAGATAAAAAATAAAGCTAAACAACAAAACCAAAAAAAAAAAAAAAAAAAGGAATGCAAACAATAGAACAAAATTGATGTATCCCATATAGGGTCAGCCTAGTGTGTAATCCAGAAACGTGATCGGCTAGATTAATTCTACTTTATTGTAAGCAGCGATGGTATTCAGCTGGTTCGGATTGGTTCAGGTGAAGCAGTAGTAGCGACCTCCTATGCAGTCCTATTTAGACACGTTTTCTAAGCCGTGCGCATGCATGCAAGCCACGCACGTGAGCAAAGTTTACATTATCGGTGCGCGGTGAACCAGTGGTAAAATTATATGAAACCTACCTCTGATTGTAAGCTTACAAAAATAGGATCTTGCAAGTTTGAAAGTACAACACCTCCTTGCATTTACAACCCAAGAAACAAGGGAGTGTCCCTTCTAAGACATTTATCATACCCACATACCCACATGTGGGCTTAGCTGCCTCTTGTCTGACCATTCCTCTGGCTGTGGCTCTTCAGCCTGCCTCCCAAAGCCATTAAACATAGGCCCTTTGGCCTACTTCTGTTTTTAATATCTTGCAGATAGCCAGCAATTGGAAGTGAGCGTGGGTAGGTCACTTCTGATCCTTCGAAGGCTGTTCTGTAGCAGTGGCCCAGCCAATTATAAACAGCATCTGTAAACTTCAGCCCCCTGCATTCTGGGAAAGTGAAGGATCAACAGCAGTTTCTCTTTTTTACTGCTGAAATGGTGCCATTAGATTCAGGTAAAAGGTAATCCTATTTCCCCATGGTAGAGGCAGGGATAGAGAAGATTGGTTCCTGTTGGAGGAGATAGCTATATTGAAGCTCTCCTTGTTTTAGAGAACAGGTATAACTACGCAAGCTTTTCCTTCCATCTCAAAAGTCAAGATAAATCACAATTTTTGGGGGCTCCTTTTTACTTTTTTAAACCTACTTTTCCTTTCTTTTGCTTTTTAGATACCTTTTTGGGAACCTTTTGCATAGCCAAAAAAACAAAACAACAGTGATAGATTTCTCTGAGGACCTATGGCACACAAGGGCAAGAGGGGTTAAGTCACCAATGCATAACACTGAATAGCCTCAGTTCTCTTCCACAATTCCCCGAGGAGGTGTGATAAGTGCTACGGTTCTTGAATTGCTGGCCTCTCAATGGAATGATACTTTTCAAGCTTCTATAGTGACTTCCTCAGGTCATATTCCATCTTAAAGCTCTAGCTACTTTTCATTACCCAGTCACGAACACCCAGTCGGGCTGCAGCTTTGAAGATCTTCACCTACAACCAAACACCCCCATTTTCACCATTCACACATATGTTGATGTGACAATCCTTTTACAGATGGGTCAGGAAAAAAAAGGAAGTTTTCATTATCAGTTTCCACTGCCCAAGCCCTGGCCTTCTTAGAGGCAGATCGTTGACAGGGGTGACAATCAAGTATCGTCCACAGATAAGGACCAGCCCTCTCCTCAGCCTTAGCATCAGGCAGCAATGATCCTCTCTCAATATATTCACATGACAAAAGATTTATAAAACAAACCTCTCTTATTACAACCAGCAATTTAAAGCCTTGTTTGGAATACTTGATTTGGAATATGGTATTCTCAATACTAGTAACATCTGACAAATATCAAGTAGATTATATTGGGAAGAAGGAATAACTTTGAGAAGCAGGAGGAACAACTGCAACAAAGGCAATGGTCAAATGACATATATCTGAGTTTGGAGCAAAAATGTAGATTGAGAAAGACCCTCCCTAGTTCTCACTAAGATAAAAGGAAAGGGGGAGGGAGTATAGTCAGACTTGAATGATTCTGTTATGGTAATTTTACAATAGAAATACTGTAGTATTAATATTTATTACTTTGGTTTCCTAGTCTTGTCTACCTTAAAAGGGTGATAACCACACATTGTTTGCCAAAAAAGAATTCTGCACAATCTAATCAGACATCATCAGTCTGCACCTAGACTTGAACTTCATGACTCATATGAATTCAGTTTGGCATTGGTGCCAGGCAGCAATCTTGTCCTTTTTTTCTGCCCTATCCCAGACTCTAAATTAAAGAAGAAATGGTCCAAACTGGATGTTAGAAAACAGCTCAAGAGGAAGAAGAGATTTCAATCTCTTCGTTTCCCTAGACAGCCCAACTGGCCTGCAAAGCTTCCTTTAGCCCCTCTCTTCAATCAGAATAAGCTTGAAGTAAGGTACTTCCTTATAGTGGAAGCTGAGCACTTAGCCTGTCCAGGCATTGTCAGAAAAAAGGCAGAGGTATTTATAGAGTGGGCCATCAATATCTTCAACCTGTATAGAACCTAACATGTCCATCCCGTATTCTTATCAACTCTGGTTTTGTTTCTATGACCAGTCTTACTGGTGTGTCAATTAGAAACTGGAAGAGAGTGGTTTCCCTCCACAGAAACCCACACCAGAATCCTTATTAGCTCTGTGTCTGAAGAGAGTGGGATTCCCAAATCAGCATTTTTCTCTCTGCTCTAAAATAAGAAACTTCACAATCAGTCCATTATACTGTTTCAGACAAAGGGATGATGATAGGCAAGCAAATTGAGAGTTCCATGCCAGGCTTCTTCATATGTGTTGCACTATGCATTCATTCTCTCATACACTCTCATTGCAATTAGGTTTAAAACTATTTGGGAAATGAATTCTTGTCTCTGATTAACTGCTGATGAGTTAAAAGTGGTCCACTGTGTGTGGGAACGTGCAACAGCAGACTTCTGTGCACCTATGTAGAAAGCATTGCTCACACCTTTTAACAGTTTCATTTTGGCTTGAGACAGCAAGCTGCTCGGGATCCATAATCACCAGGCGTGTTGGAAAGTTGCAACCATCTCCTAAACTGCACAGACAAAACAGAACAAATATTTCATTACCTTGCTGAATACACACAAGAGAAACATCTATACAACTTTTTAAACATCACATTAAGTGGAAGAGTGGTACAAAGACCAGGAACATAACATATTCAGCATCAAGTATTGTACCTGTTGCAAGAAAGAGCTTATTGTAGCTTCATGTAGCTTTTAGAGAACATTAACAATTATTTGACATTAATAATTTGTCTGCAAATGTCAAACGGTTGTCATCTAAAAAAATAGAACATTCATAAGCTGCTTTTCAGATCAGGAATGTCTGAACAGTATGTTCTTGCAATCTTTATCAGTACATTCCTGGTTTAGTCTATGTAATTCCAGAGTACACTGTATACTCTTGCTTAACTTTCTGGATCAAACAATTATGAACTCTTTACAATTTTTTAATAAAGGCTTTTAGATATTGCTGAAGAAATTATTCATGAAGGCAATATGGTCACTAGGAGTTGAAAATTACTTGATGGCGCATTGTCAATCAAAAGAAATTGTAACTGGCTAATTGGACTGCTGACTTCATCAAGTACTATAGCAGTGATGGCGAACCTTTTTTTCCTCGGGTGCTGAAAGCACGTGGTATAAGATGAATATCATTTAAAGATTTATAGACTTCTGAACTCTATACCCAAAATTTAGAATTCATAACTAAAATACATAAACGACAATACCTCGTAAAAATAGGGAGCAGCCAGTATTTCTTTTCATCTCCAAAAACCTCTCTTAGGTTTTTTTGACATCCAAGAGAGAACCCATTTTTGTCAGGCCCATTTCGAAACATTGGTGCCCGGAAAGCTTCTATATCACACATAAAGAAAGGAAACAAATTAATCAATTTAGGACAGTGAGAAAGTCTTCCATAGTGGAATATTAAGAATAACACAAGATTGAGTCATCTCTCATGAAAATATTGTCACTTGCAACATGTTACATGTCTTAAACTACATTGCAGAAAAAACTGTTTCAGATACAAATCTACAACAATTTTTTTTCGTTTGATCAGACCATTATAAAAACTAAAAAAAAAAAAAAAAAAAAAAAAAAACACCAAGAGAAAAAACTAATACTTTAGAATGCTATCACATTTGTTTAGCTAAACAGGATTGTAAAATTTATTTCGGTCAGCAATTAAAAAACACAATTTTCCTTCCAAGCCCTTTGCAATTATTAATATTACTTTCTTCAAACAGAATAAGCTACTTTGCTGTAATTTCCATTTTGTGTAATCTAAAAGCATGGTTTTAGATGGTTAAGTTCAGAATATATAGAAATCCTTATTTATTTCCTTTTAAACAGTCAATGGGTGTGCAGTCTATAACAAAGTGATTGTGACCTGGCATCAATAGGGAGATATTTTCTTTCCATCTTCCCAAAAGTTTCTGTAGTTAGAAATAACTCCTATCATAATGATTCCCGTTTCCTTTATTCATTTTCTTAGCAATGTTAAGTTTAGTTTGATAAGAAAAGAAACAGGAATCTGACTTTTGCTGAGACAAGATTGTAAGTCTAAAGACACTTTAGAGGTGTCTTTACATAAGGACACAATGAGACAAGCAATCTAGAACTAAGGAGAAATTTCCTGACAGTTAGAGCAATTAATCAGTGGAACAACTTGCTTCCAGAAGTTGTAAATGCTCCAACACTGGAAGTTTTTAAGAACAGATTGGATAACCATTTGTCTGAAATGGTATAGGTTTCCTGCTTAAGCAGGGGGTTGGACTAGAAGACCTTCAAGGTCCCTTCTAACTCTTCTGTTCTGTTCTGTTCTGTTCTGTTCTGTTCTGTTCTGTTCTGTTCTGTTCTGTTCTATTCTATTCTATTCTACTCTATTCTATTCTCTTGGGCCTAATAATATGCAAATATGATCAGATATTATATTTACAGGGTAATCTTGGGTCAGATACAACTTTGAACATAGACACAGCTCACAGAGTTATGAGAATGAGATGGAGAACCTGGAGCTGCTTGGTCAATGGATGGGGTAGGAACTAAAGAATAACAGAAATAATAATAGTAATAGTAATAGTAATAGTAATAGTAATAATAATAATAATAATAATAATAATAATAATAATAATAATAATAATAATGATAATCATCCCTGTAATTTACTAACCAATTGTTGATCTGTTTTTACCAACTAGCCAGCAGTGGTAACTAAACAATGACAGTATGCTGATGAAGAACATGGCAGCCACAAAGAAAAGGAAAAGGACATGGAATTTTGCCCGGGTATCTGGTAGTTCGTTCTGAAAAGAAAAAGAAAAGAACTGTATTAATGCATTTTCATCCATTTTCTGATCAAATGCTATTTTCTTAGAACTATTTTATTCTGAATTAAAATAAGTAACATGGATTCATGTACAGCAGCTAACACTTAAGATGTGAATTTGACAGCACACAGTGTATTTCTTTGTGGTCATAACTTTCACAACTAATAGATAAAATTCACAGAACTGGAAAGGTTAACAACTGACTGCCCGCCAGTCAGGTCAGGAGGAAAACAAATATTGTTCAAATTCATCTTCTTAAATTGGACATTAAGGAAGGATAGAAGAGCTAACAAATTGGCAAGATGGACTAACTAATGATTAGCAAAGGAATAGTTGTTGCGCTGGATGAAGTAAGAAAGATTTAAGCAATGTTTTTGTTAAGGAAGAAAAGAATGATAAAAAAATTAGATTTGTAAATGATGCATTTAAAAAATTTAAGGAAACTTCTTGAAAATATAAGATTTTAACGTAGGAATCCTTCGACTCCTCGGAAGACTTTTCAGGATTTCCTCCGCTAAGGGAAAAAGTAACTCTATCTATAGAAGAGAAGGCTGAATTTCAGACTGTATTTGCAACCAATAGGTATGGAAACCTCTGCAGTTGACATTTAGCAGGAGCAGAGATCCGAGAGAAGAGGCAACCTAATACAACACTTAAATGTGCAGAACCCATGGTATTTCCAATCCCCAACACACTGCAAACCATGTCCATTTCAGCTGATGTTGATTAATGCCTTCTCTTGAAATCAATTGAAAGATTAATTTGGTGTTAAGAAAAGGGCTGTGTATTAGGTGCAGACAAGCAATAACACTGCAGCATTTTTTTCCCTTCTCCCAGTATAATCTTGAGACAGAATCAGAGGATTGATCCATAAAGTTAATTAACTCAAAGAAGGAAGTACTCCACTTTGGTTTTCTTTTAACTGAAACGTGTGCGTGTGATAATAATTTTTATTTACTGTCTTACTACTATTTTTTTTAAAATATGCCAACGTTATGTTCTTGGGTGATATGGATAAGACACTTTAAGGGATACACAAATGTTTAAAATCCAAAATTGTATATTTTTGATGATCTATGAGGGAAGTAAGCCAACTTTTTCCACTTTCAGTCTACACAAGAATAACAGTTACTAAAAGAAGGAGCCCACAAAGCACAAAGGAAGGGGAACAAAAGGCTACTGGTTTTTTGGGGCTGCTGCTCTTCTTCCCCAAAATAAAGTGACTTCAGAAAGCATGAGTCTAGTTTTGTTCAGTGAAGACTCTTTTGGCAGTGAACAAAGAGCTCAAGGATCTGATATTGATAGTTCAGGAAGGACATAATCTAGTCTGGGAGAATAAGACCAAATTTCTAACAGGTTTTCCTCACTTGTAGGCAAAGTTCAAGGGAGGAAGACCTTCCTTTATTCTCTTTATAATGATTATTTTTGTGTGTGTTCAGGGAGAAATGGGAAGAGAATCAAACTGCAGGTGTGAGGAATACACCTTGAGATCCTGAGATGGTATGGACTCTGGATCACATCCTCTGAACACCAGTGGCCTAGCCAGAATCTTGTTGCAGAATCTTGCAGAGGCTTGTTGCAAAAATTTTAAGGGTTTAAATCAGGCCTGTCAAGCTGGCGGCCTGTGGGCCGGATGCGTCATGCGCAGGCCACGCCTACCGCAGCTCCACAAAGGCAAAAAACATCGCGATATGTCATGATATATTACATGACACGATCGAGTTTGACACCTGAGGTTTAAACTATTTAAACAAGATTATACCTCATGCATTTCAAAACATTTGTATCGTAACAGAGTACACTGTACGCAGGAGAAAGAAAAAGATAATTCTTTATATATTTTAAAGATATTTTCCATATACTGAAGATTCATGTGTTGAGAAAAAAGTTGTGTTTTATTAATGTAGCACAATTTCTATGTGCTCAAATTGCTAAATACCTTATTAAACAATTAATAGTTTCATTTTAAGAATTCAATAGCATATTCCTTTTAAACAATGACAATACAACGGGGAACTGAAATTGCTTCTTTATTAATAAAATATAGATAACATTAACATCCATTTAATTTTCTGTCAGTATATGTTACACTTCAGAGCACCAATTTCTCCCTCAGGCATTAAATAAAACGCATATTGCTATTTATAAAGAACTAGAAATATTCTATAATAGTATTGTAACCCGCTATCAGAAATAAAGGTACAAAATAACATACTAGCAGAGACTACTGCTTAAATTGCATTTTACCTTTGGACAATTCTCAGCAGATTTCCTGCGGCAAAGCTTTGTGCAAATAAAGACAATTTATTAAAAGGCTATAACCCCTTAAGACTAGTGTTCAGAAACAAGTAAAAATGCTGTTAGAAAACTGATGGTCTTTGCGTGCACAAGGTGTAAAGCGTGCAGTATTCAATGTCAAGAGGCCAATAGTTTACATTACATGAATAAGTGAAGATGAACTTGTGTTTGCATAATGATAAAGGAGTCACTGATTTTAATGGTGTACATTCAAGGCACACCATTAAAATTAAGAGATCTATTCATTGCTCTCTCTAATTTTCATTATCGGAAGCCCAACTTGGAATCATCTCTACAACAGAAATCAACTAAGTAAATTACTGGTAATTTCTGTCTACATTCATCATAATTTGAACTAAAATTTGTTACCCAATTATGAACCAAAGCATTTTGACACTATGATTTATTATTTGATTTCTCTGACCCCTTAATCTAAATGGTCCCTGCACTTCTTCATCTCCTGAAGAATATTTAGGAAAAGTATTAACACATACAAAAGACACACACTCTGTCCAGTTTCTCCACCTTGTAATCTTAATTGTCAACTCCAGTTGAAAACAGTTCTGCAAATTCCTTCCTGTTTATATGATAAACATGTACAACAAAATACATGTACACATGGCAACCTTTTTAAATATGTGCATATTAGCTGGAAGTAATATTCCAACAAAAAGCCATGTTAAAAAAAATTAACGTGAATAGGCATGAACATGCAGAAGACTAACAGAGTGCATCCAAAAACAACAACTAGCAATCAGAAGACATGATGAAAACACTTATTCTCACAACATGGATAGACTCAACCATAGTTTCAACTGGGGAAAATGTGGGCATCCTAGACCATGATGCAAGGGAATGCCTCAAAGCTTGACATTCAGACGAATTAGCCATAAACTGATACATAGAGATAAATCACATTTACACATCATTCAAAAAAGTCCATAAAACATTAAGGAAATAACAACAACAACAACAAGAGTACATCATCTTCAGCAGCCAATACCCAGAATAAGCAAGGATTAACATCAGACAAAAAAAAAAAAAAGCAAACCAAAAACAATATCCTAATCAAAGAACTACCAAAAAGAAAACCATATCCCCACCAACACTGGTAGGACAAGCTACTATATATAAACAGAGAGCAAACCCAATTAACTCCCTGCTAGCATTAATGATGTTACCTATTCAGGTAAATAAATATCTGCAAGCAAACGATCAAACTCAGAGACTACTAAGACTTCACAATAACATGAATTAATAATTGAGTAAGTTATATTGAAATGCTAAAATGTACCCTATTGACAAACAGAGAATTAGGAATATTTTTGGAAGAAGAACAAATCATGGAAACAAGTCTCTCTCTCACACACATATATATACACACACAACCTCCTAGGGGTTATTCACAAACTCACTTTAGAAAATGAACTGAGTCGCTCTAAAAGGAAGATGGAGGGTCTCTAAATATGGTAAATAAATTGGATTTCCTATACAGATTTATGCAAGCAAACATACATTCTCTCTCTCTCTCTCATTCCCCATCTCAATCTTTTCTCCTTCTGAAGAAATAGAAAAAAGGGATTATAATGATATAATTACATTGGGAGGGAACAAAAAAGTAGCAAAACTCGATGAAGATTAGGCAAAGAGAAGAACTCTTGTTTAAGCGTCACAAAAGAGTTAAAATTCTGTTCTGCAAAGAGACTTCAGACAACAACCATGGTTCAGAATAATCTTCAAAGGCATTAGTGCTTTGCCACAATCTACCACAAGGCTGTTTTAGGCCCAGTACTCTTCAACATCTTCATCAATGACTTGGACAAGGGGATAGATGGGGAACTCATCAAATTTGCAGATGACACCAAGCTGGCAGGAACAGCCAATACTCCAGTAGATAGGCTTAAGATACAGAAGAAACTTGACAAACTGGAACATTGGGCCTATCTAACAAAATGAAATTCAATGGAGAAAAAAGTAAGAAAAACAAAATGCACAGGTACAGTATATATGGTACCTTGCTCAATAGTAGTAACTGTGAGAGGGATCTTGGAGTCCTAGTGGACAACCATTTATATATGAGCCAGCAATGTGCAGCAGCTGCCAAAAAAGCCAACACAGTTCTAGGCTGCATAAACAGAGGGATAGAATCAAGATCACGTGAAATGTTAATACCACTTTATAATGCCTTGGTAAGGCCACCCTTGGAATACTGCATCCAGTTTTGGTCGCCACAATGTAAAAAAGATGTTGAGACTCTAGAAAGAGTGCAGAGAAGAGCAACAAAGATGATTAGGGGACTGGAGGCTAAAACATATGAAGAACGGTTGCAAGAATTGGGTATGTCTAGTTTAATAAAAAGAAGGACTAGGGGAGACATGATAGCAGTGTTCCAATATCTCAGGGGCTGCCACAAAGAAGAGGGAGTCAAGCTGTTCTCCAAAGCACCTGAGGACAGGACAAGAAGCAATGGGTGGAAACAAATCAAGGAGAGAAGCAACTTAGAACTAGGGAGAAATTTCCTGACAGCTAGAACAATTAATCAGTTGAACAACTTGCCTCCAGAAGTTGTGAATGCTCCAACACTGGAAGTTTTAAAGACGAGATTGGATAACCATTTGTCTGAAGTGGTGTAGGGTTTCCTGCCTAAGGAGGGGGTTGGACTAGAAGGCCTTCAAAGTCCCTTCCAACTCTGTTATTCTAAATTCTGACCTCTGCAGCCATTTTAACTTCTTGGTTATTCCTTTATTTTCAACTGTTTTTATATATTTTTCAATGAATAGCCAGACACTTCTCTAGGGACATCAGCTGATTAATAAATTGGAAACTTTTGAGCTTTATTGCTGAGGTTTTGCATACTTATTCCAATGAGGCTAAGCCTGTGCATGATGCTCCAGGTGGCTTAAGTGCTGTCTTCTACGGTTTTCCCTTGATGGTTAAGTATGCAATGAAGGGACAGGAACTATCAGAAAAAGTTGTCCCCTGAATCAAATAATACCCCTATTCACTGGTAATTAATCTTTTTTTTAAAAAAAAAACAAACACCTCCAGGTAATAAGGTAATACTTAAATTAAATTAAAATATTTGATACTTAATGTGAAATGTTAAGGAAATATGACAATCAATTTTGCTCAAAATTAATGCTACATAAAAAAAAAAATCCCTTAGTCCATCTATGGCTCTATTCCAGATTCTGCTCAAATCATTGGGCCAGTTGCCTTGGACTAATGAAAGCAGGCAATCCAAGTACATCAGGATATCTATAGATTTTTTTTCATCCTATTTTCCACAACAATTCATATTTTTTAGCCATAGTTTTGGCAAAATTAAGTAACCTGAAATGTTCCTATTTGGCAAACAGAGGGAATTAGGGATCTGTTGAAGTACAAATCATGGAAGGAAGTTACACACACACACACACACACACACACACACACACACACACACACGTAACCACCAAGGTATTATGCAAAACACACGCATACACACCTAGCATGGGGGTTATGCAAAACACCCTACAGAATAATAAGTACCAAAGCTGACTAAAATATTGATATGACTTACCTATTAAATAAATTTCATAAACAAACAAACAAACAAACAAACAATGCTAGACTATGGTTTACTATGCTTTTCTCACTAAGACACAAAATAATAACATATCATGGTAAACAATAATATGTCGTTATGGATCACAATGCTAGTTGCATGCAACCCAGTAAAAACAAACCATTTTATAACAAACAAAAGGAAGAAAGGAAGAAAGGAAGGAAGGAAGGAAGGAAGGAAGGAAGGAAGGAAGGAAGATCCTTGTTCCCTAGATATTTAGTAATAACAGAATAAGTGCAGTGTCAGAGACAGAAAGCTCGAGTGGAAAATGTAGCCTCCAGGATGTCGGCTGGTTAAATCAGAAATCTCAGCTTCAACTAACTTCTCTCTCAATAGGGACATACATATTATGCCTTAATAAGCCAAAGTATTGATATGCTAAGATTATTTTAGCACATTTCACCTTTTATTTCAGTGAGCCATGCTGCAATATCCAGGAAGGTTTGGTTAACTACAGTTTTCCATTACATGCAAATTGGGGAATTACTGTTTCAAAGTTTGGAATGCATCAAGATATTAAAAGAAATTCAAATCAAATTTCAAAATCAAACATTTCAAATTTCATTAAGAATCCTATTGTCTTGCAATTTCTCAGCTGTGACTCAATACAAAGTCTTCATTACTTAATGTGCGTGTACATTAATGTGTACATTAATGTGCACATGCCAAGAAGAGAAAAGGAACTGCATGAATTGTACCAGTTAGTCTACAAATATCTGTATTTGCCTGACTCATGAAGAGATAACACAGGTGTGTGCAGGTTAACAATAAATAACCCCTCATGATTAGGTTTACCCTGAGTAAAAAAAAAAAAAAAATTGAATGCAAAAATGCATGTACAAGTTATTTTTACTATAAAAATGTTTCATTTTGTGCTTACTTACTGTATAAATTATTCACATTCAAGTAACATCCTTCACAGTCTATGAATGTTAGCCAATTCTTTTCCAAAACCATAATGCTGCTATTCCAAAGGTTTAAAGCAATATTAAAAATGATCTGACTTATGGAGCCAGGTCATGCTATTCAATCAGAATGAAGATTAAAAATCAGGTTTATTTTGAAATTAGAAGAGGGCAATGTTGATATGAATGTCATACATATATAATGTGCTTTCTTAAAACATGCATGAAAAGCCAACATAAAAGATACAATCCACAAGACAGCAAATTCGGCTGCAGCGAACCATGTATTATATATAAAATTTAATTATTTAGTAATTTACTACTTCACTTCAAATTGATGACAGTTAGGTATACTATGAAGCATGAAAACACAATGCTTCTATATTTTCTTTTTAAAGTTTAAAACTTTTTAATTTTAAAGAACTTACTGTCCAAAACTTTATGAAATACTGAAGAACCGTAGCAGCAACAAACAGACAATACAGGAGGGAATAAAATAAAAAGAGGAGAAAAAACTTGTAGTTGGAAAATCCCACGCAGTTATTCACCCTAGAAAAGGAAAAAGAAATAGCTATTTTTTTTCCTTCTACAACACAGTTGGACAATTTTTGGCAGCCATGTTATAGATGGTCTCAAAAACAGTTGCTAATGGGATCGCCTGTATCCTCACAATTTGGCTATAAGGATCACAGTCAGTTACTCTTTCCTACAAAGCAAACTAAAGGAATTGCTGTTTGTCACCCTTCCAGAATATTTTCTAGCTCTTTAGCTTGTTTTTGCCTTTTTGGGAGGGTGTGTGTGTGAGGAAAATAAGAAGGCATTAGATGGATTTCTGAACAAAGAACTAAGAACACCTATAGACCTATATGGAATTCAAGACTATTGCTGAAGATGAAGATGGTAGCAAAGACTGATATTAATGTTTATTATTTTTTTAAATCATAAAATAAAAATAAAATTCTAATTGTCTGATTGTTGTTTTCCAGAGAAGCCTCTTATGCTTTTAGTATGACTCTACTAAAAGCATAAAAGTTTGCATTGCAACACATTTTATTTATTTATTTTAATTTATATAGCTGCCAACCTAATCATAATGACTCAGGGGTGGCAAACAATAACAAAACACAACAGTAACAACAAGGTAACAAAAAATACATAATTGACAGCTGACATAAAACCATAAACCACCATCAGTATAGCCGTGTCACAGGCTCTGACATATAATACTAGAATAAAAATGTCTTTGTGTGTGTGTTTATGTATGTCTGTATGTATATATATATGTATATATATATGTGTATGTATGTATATATATATATATATGGTATATTACATACATACTGTGTTTCCCCGAAAATAAGACCCTGTCTTATATTTTTTGAACCCCAAAATAAGCATTTGGCCTTATTTTCGGGGAGGACTTATTATTTTGGGGTGCATGGAGCGAGACAGGGATCCTCTTGCCGTCTTACCTGATTTCCAGCTCTGTCTCCCTAACTTTAACTGGAGGAAATGGTGGGGACCAGCTGCACATGTGGTTAAATATTTTCAGGGAGGGCTTATTTTCGGAGGAGGTCTTATTTTTGGGAAAACACGGTATAAACATAGTTGAGGGGATACTTGTTTAATGTCCACTTGTTCCTTATATGCTGAGTTCACAGCAGACAATTACTCAGCCAGAGAGAGAAATATCTGCTGCTACCTAGGATTGAAATCACAGCTTCCTGATTGTGAGGTGATCTAAGATCATTTAGAGACCATTTACAAAATAGTGATTTAAAGCATCTTCAGAAAATTACCAGTACTCAACTACTCAGCTATCCTTGAAGCATTATAAAGCCTCTCTTGTTACTATTATTTTAACAAAGTTATAGTTGATGATTCTAGAATGTGCTATTTGTTGCTAGTGAGAAAATAACCTAAGGTTTTTATTGTGAGAAAATAAAAATCAACCTAACTTAAATTTAGACTCTGTTCTTACTTCACTCTCTAAATTTTCCCCTAATAATTCCTACTCTTAACTCATTTTGTGCATTCCCAATAATAAAAGAGCTTACTTATTTGTTTTGGTACAAAACCAAAAACAAGGAGGAATTTAAAAAAAAACATACCAAGGACAATGATGATCCATTTTCAGTACACATCTAAAATAAAAGAAGACAGCTGAATCAATGCAAAGGTGAAACATGAATAGTATTATGCTTTTTTTAATAAATATATCTAATTCAAACTTTCAAAGTCTTTTCCAGCACTGTAATATATTGGAAACCATTGATCACTTCACCTCTGTACCCAGACTATTTAAAGCAGTTAGGAAGAAGCAAAATATTACAAGGTAGATTCATGGAGTTTACAATCAAGAAAATCAGAACACAGTTGTAATTTGAGAAAAAAGATAGGGGTATGCTCAAGCCTTAGAACCCTTTTTCACTCAATTCATTTTACAATAGGGAGAAGAAATGGATAGAGGAGTGCATAATGTGTGCATATTCTCTTGCATATTGGAAGAACAATAAAGAGGCACTTGGCACAAAAATGGCAAGAGGAAAGAGCAGCTCCCTCTCCACTTAACTTTGCTATTCTTCTGCATAGTTACAACTTTTCTACAACTACCTTTCATTTTCAAGTCACTGGAAGGATTTTTTTCCCATGCATCTGGTGTTTACTACCTTTAGCATTAATTCAAATTAAAACACTAATTGTCTGTGAAAAATGCTATTACTACAAAACAACACACTCAGCTTCTAGAGACGGAATCCTTCTTAGCATATTCTAAAGCAGATCAATGGAGCACAACAGCAATAAATGATATACTGGATGCATGCATTTTCAGCTGGGGATCTGTAATACTGACACGGGAATTCAAAAGGTTGTGAGATGGAGTACTATGGGGCTGTACGCTGCCAAGAAAGCAGGGTAGTGGAGTCAATGCAATAGAATCCTATCTTACTTCTGTCACAAACTCAAAGCCATACAATATATAGGAGGTAACTGGCTTATCTTTAACTTAAAAAAAATAAAAATAAAGTACAGCACAGCCATGGTTACATAATTTGCTTTGAGATGTGGCACTAAATGGTTATTGAAGTTTTCCTTTTTGTATTTTTTTAACCTCCATATTCCCAATACGTGAATTCTGAGTGTGTGTTAGTACATGGCGTTCTCTGAACTCATAGGATGCAGCAACATAGATTGGCTTGAGCAGAATAGCATGAGTATGCTTGCATAAACATGAGTTTTGGTTATGCTTGTAGCATATTACCAAAAATCTACCAAAATTGATGGACCTTTTCCCCATTTTACAATCAGCAAGGAATGCTATATACATGGCAATAAGAATGGTAAACAGCCTACACTTTCGTATATTGTTGAAAACATTATGTGAAAACTGAAGTCAGGATGTATGGTGAAGAATGATATATTTGGGCTATCTTGTGACAACTATAGCAAATGAAATGTTACACCTTGAAATGTAAAAGGAGAAGATGATGTGGAACACGGTTTAACTAATGAAATTAAATTGTATGAAATGAAAATTGGTTTTTATGTGTCTGTGAAAAAGAAATGGATACAGGGCTGTACCATTTAGATAATAGGGCTGAATGAACATGGTCTAATCTTATGTAGCGGAATTGAGGAATGAATGCAGGGATTTGAAGCAGTAATTATGAATGAAAGTGCTAAGGTATATGTCATAAAGTATGAATTGGTGCTATTTAGGTTGCTGTAGATTTATGGGGGTGGTGGTTAAAGACACTGAGCTTTTCAGCTGGAGAGTTGACAGCTTGGATTTGGGACCCAAGTTCTGCCCAACGGGGTGAGGTCTTGTTACTTGCCCCATATCCTGACTACCTAGCAGTTCGAAAGAATGCAAATGCAAGTAGATTGATAGGCACCACTTTGGTGGGAAGGTAACAGTATTCTGTGCATGTTTGGCATATAGCCATGCTGGCCACATGACTCCAGAAATTGTCTTTGGACAATGCTGGGTCCCTTGGCTAAGAAACAAAAATGAGTACCACCCCCCCCCACGACTGACAGGGAAACCTTTACCTTTAGTTGTTTATGAAAGTAGGAATCCATGACTGATGATATCCATAATAACATTCCAGTGAATGTAAAAACCAAACAAGAACTGTTTGTTAAGTGTGTTTAAGAAGGTGCTTGGAAGAATTTTGATCAAATAGATAAGAAAGTTGACAAGGACCAACGTCTGAGGCATTGCAGCTTAATGGCAGCGAAGGAATATGCAGATCAGCTTTTTGCTTTTCAGCAGCTCACTAAGAAATGTTTGAATATAAGAAAGTAAGTTTATTCTGTTTATTGATTTTAAAAAAAGCATATGATAAAGCAAATATGTTGGAATTAAGGAATGTTTTCAGATTTATTTTTTTTAAATTTGATTTATATGCCGCCCTTCTCCGGAGACTCAGGGCGGCTTACAATGCGTTAAGCAATTGGTTCCTGAATGAAGAAAAATTGACATAGAGGTATGAGATGAAATAGAATGCTTAACAAGAGATTCAACACTGATCAGGGAGTAAGACAAGGATGCACAATGTCCCATTGGTTGTTTAATGTATTTCTGGATAAATATGAGGAATCTGTGTGGTGATTATTTTACTTATTTAGTGTATGACATCTACACAGGTCATGCAATCATTGATATACAAATTTAGTTTAAATAAAGCGTCAGCAAATATATATATAATTATGGGGACAATAGCAATAGCACTTCACAGTGCTATTATTTACCACTTCACAGTGCTTTTACAGCCCTCTCTAAGTGGTTTACAAAGTCAACATATTGCCCCCAACAACCTGAGGTCCTTATTTTACCGGCTTCGGAAAGATGGAAGTCTGAGTCAAACTTGAGCGGGTGGGACTTGAACTGCTGAACTGCTGGCAATCAGCAGTCAGCAGAAGTAGCTTGCAGTGCTGTACTCTAACCACTGCGCCACCACAGCTCTTATAGGAGAAAGAATATTAAATTAAAATAAAACCATAATAAAATTACAATAATATGGAGCCATAAAACTGCAATGGGATAGATGTTATAATTTGATATCTAAGGAACTATCTAACTGCTTCTGGTGAGTCTGAGATGAAATCATCCCTGAAAGCACCATCAGGAAAATTCATGAGTATCTGAGCAATCAATGTTTCTATGCCATAGCAACACTGACATACACCAGACTGTGATTTTTATTGCAGTCACAGCATAATATAACCAATGTAAACATAATTTGACTGCAGTTCTGAGTAACCATGGCTCCCAATGCTTGCTTGCTTGCTTGGGAATGATAAGCAAGGCATCTTGGCATGGAAAGCATGATAAACAAACATTCAGATTCTTGAGTGAGTTAATCTGTTCTGCTCACAAAAAGACCCAAATGAATGTCAGTGAGCAGTGCACATCAATATGCTGGTTGGTTTATAAGATAAAACATTTCAAGTACAATTTCCAAAATTTTAGAAAAAAAAAAAAGATTTATCATGATACATAACTCTGTAGAGCAGGGATGTCAAACTCGATTTCACTGAAGGCTGCATCAGGGTTGTATTTGACTTCAGGGGGCCGGGGTGGGCATGGCCAGGGTGGCTGTGGCCATTTTGACATCACTCATGCCGGGGGCACCTGTGGTGACCTGAGCACTCTGCCAGCAAAAATGAGCTCCTGAGCTCCGTTTTTGGCTGCGATGGCCTCCTACAACCCTGCCAGTGAAAACAGTGTTCCATTTTTGCTGGCAGAGGCACCACGGGCCAGTCCCTCATTGTTTCCAGGGCAGCCCGCGGGCCAGATCTAAACACTCCACGGGCCGGCTCCGGCTCCGGGGCCTTGAGTTTGACACCCCTGCTGTAGAGACTTACTTACTTATTTATTTATGGAATTTATATTGCTGCTTATTCGCCCATAGCGACTCAAGGCGGCTTACAGAATATAAAACCTGATATAAGAACAATAAAACTAATAAAAGAAGTCATATAATAAATTAATATACTAAAATCACCCCGTACCCCCCCTGTGACAGCACCTCACACGAGCCATTTAATGGGCTCTATCCCGCTCTGGGTTTCCCAGACCTGCTGGCAGAACAAGGTCTTCAGTGTCTTCCGGAAGAATGCTAGAGTGGGGGCCATTCTAATCTCTTGGGGAGATGATGTTCCAGAGAGAGGGAGCCACCACGGAGAAGGCCCTTCTTCTGGGTCCTACCAGGTGTATCTCCCTAGGGGATGGGACCCACAACATTCCCTGCCTCCCGGCTGTAATGGGTCGGGTAGATGTGACCGGCAAGAGATGGTCCCTCAGATAACATGGTCCCAAGCCAACCTTTATATGCTAGTTTAATATGTCATAATTATTGGTTTAAATTAATGTTTGTAATGAGTGAGCATCACCCTGGGAAAGCTACTTTCACAATCATGGTATTGCCAGTGAACCCAACAGGTATTCAGATTCCTTTATTTATTTAATCCCCAGAGGGCATTTACTCTGGCACCATGTCCCCTCAGCTGTCCCTGAAGGTCAATACAGAAGATTCCTTACTTAGAGACACAGTGCTTTTGTGGCCCTGGACACACAAGAACAACAGCGCATGTGCTTCTCCAGTGCCTTTATGACAGAGACATTTATAGTAGCCTCATCTCACTATTACTGCATAAATACCCAGAATGTACAGGACAATTTTATATTCCTATTGCATCAACCCTGCCACAAAATACAGTGTTGCCATATTGTGCACAGCAGTGCTTAAAATTCATTGGATGATGACCTGTGCCATAAATTAGACTTAATGAGCATCTAGTTCATCATATAAGAGTGCTCTGTAATTTGAAATAATCTTCCATACACTAACCTTTATTCTCCCCTACATCCATCTAATGTTTCTATTCCATTTTTTTGATTATTTTAGACTTGTTTATGTATAATTTCTGATTTAATATATTTTTATATTTTCTAGCTTCTTATAATTATGTATTTTCTCTGCTTTTTAATTAACTGTACCCCACTCTCTTTATGCCAATCCATGATCCTAACAGAGATCTGAATGATTGATGTGTGAACTCAGACCATGTAACTCACCAATATGTCGGTTTTTGATCACATAAGACTTATTAAAATGCTTTATTCTCTCTCTCTCTCTCTCTCTCTCTCTCTCTCTCTCTCTCTCTCTCTCCCTCCCTCCCTCCCTCTCTCTCTCTCACACACACACATACACACACACTCACACATAATCATGGAATACAAAATATATAGATTAATTTGACTGTTTTCTTTTCTTTCTCCTTTGCTTTCTATAATGAATATTTCGTTACTTGAACATTCTTTAAAAGACACAATTTACAATAAACCACAACTATTACATCCTTTTTCATGAATACATGGAATACATGAATGCAAACTCATGAAAAATATAGCTAAATTCAAGCCCATTTTCATCCAGGGAAGGTCACTGTGTGAATATGGGCCTGTCAATCTGTTTTATATAAATGTAACAAATGAAATAAATGAGTTTTGATACTTTTTCCCCACTTGCAAAACAAGATTATTATGAAGAAACGCCTTATACAGGGAGTCCTCAGGTTTCAATGGAAATTGGGACCAGGATTGCTGTTGCCATGTGATGTGGTTGTAAAGTGCTACATCATGTGTGACTGCATCACTTAAAGACAGAAACCAAGGAACTCCCAGTTGTCCTCATAACCCCAAGACATGCGGGGCGTAAAGCAGGAAGCAGCAGGGATGAGCCTTGAGAGGTCTGGTGCAGGCCACACCTAAGTTGGGAGAGGGAGTGCTGCAGAGGCCAGGGAAGGAGGATGTGGGATGCAAGTAAGCGCAGGGAGATTGGGGCAGAGGGAAGCAATACGGCAAGCAAGAAGTGGGGGGGGGGGGGGCTTATCAGAGCAACTGTGCAACCTTCCCTGCTGCCAATCCCCATTGATTTTGTTTGGGGTAAGCTGACAGGGAAGGCCTCAAATGGCCACACCGTAACTATGAGATGCTGCTACAATTGTCATAAGTGCAAGCTGGTTGTCAAATATTCAGAATGCAATTGCCATGGTTGTGTGTAGGGTGCTACAATGCCCGGAACTTTGAGAGAAACAGTTGTAAGTACCACTCATTCAGCATTGTTGCAACTTTGAAGACATGCTGAAGAAGTGGTCAGTAAGCGAGGACTATCTGTATGTGGAAAAGGAACTCTTGAGACTTCAGGTATGAAGGTATGTTGGAAAACAGACTCATCAATCCAACCTAGAATCGGTATATACTTACAGGTCACATGCAGAACAATGATGACATCGATCAGGTTTGATTAGCTGGCATCTATCGCAGTATCTAATAGCTAAATTGAAGATTTCAAAGTCAAGGTATGAAATACGAAGCTTTAGAATTAGGACTTTTAAAACTTTCCTACTTCTCAAAACAGAATCTAGAAGAATTCAAAATGTAAACAGGGCAGTCATATTTCAAAGATAAATTGGTAGGGAGTAATGTGAAAACTCTCCAATAAATTATTATTTATTCATATAGATTTTATTGGCCACCCAACTCCAGTACAGAGCTGCAAAAGTAATAGGAATGTAATCTATCTGTATATCTACTTATAGAAATGTAAAACCTGAACATAATCTAAACCAGCGGTCCCCAACTTTTTTGGCTCCATGGACTGGCAGTGGCAATGGAAGGGGATGGTCTTGTGAATGCAACTTAATCCTGCCCATGTGCAAATAAAGCTTCACACACTTGTCTCCTGCTTGAACAGCCAAGTACTCAACTGCAGCCCAGGGTGGGCGACCCCTGATCTAAATAATATCTGGAACAGTTCTTAATTTTGATTTTTCCCTTTTATTGCCATATACCTTCCAGAGTCACAAAGAAATGACTCTGAGAGGGGAACCTGATAGATTTTATAAACAAACAAATACCCAGAACTTTGAGTTAACCACATGGAGTCTCTATGTGCAAATTGAGTGGCCATATACCGGTAAATTAAATAAACAACCAAACAAACAAATACTACTAGATGAGATCGCTAGGGCTCGCTGCCTTAGAAGAGTGAGCAAAATTCTCAGGGACGACTCTCACTCTGGTCATCACTTCTTTACCCTCCTACCATCAGGAAGGAGATATAGAAGTATAGCCAGCCGCACAAACAGGCTGAAGAACAATTTTTATCCGTGGGCTGTCAGACTCCTGAATGAGAAATAACACCATAACTATGTAGTTTGATGGACTGCAGGGCCGGCACAATGTGTAACATGTTCACACTGGTGCAATAGGACTGGGTGTTTTGTTAATATGATTTATTGGGTTAGGGATTTTTTGTCTTCACTGTGAGTTGTATTGTGTTGGGGGGGGGGTACTGAGGGACACACCAATCTTTTTGTACATATGTTGTGCACTGACAATAAAGATTTGAACTGACCATGCCAGACTTTCAAAATGAGAGGGAAGTATCATTTCCCTCACATCTTAAACAAGGAGATTCAACCATCATTTTTCACAAAATACCAAAAATATCTTTGCAAATAATGAATCTCCGGTACCTTTTGAACCTGGATGAATGCTATAAATGCAGTTAGTACAGGGGTTATGCAACTCAGCCTGGCTAAGGAACATTTTAGTAATGTTCACGTGATACAGATATCAGGAAGAATGATTGTTTTATTTTGGAAAATCTGTTGATGTAGAAATAAAGATAACACATCTGGTGCAAGTCAAGGGAAGGCAACGCTAATGGCTTACCTCTTGATGTTGTTGTCGTATAGACAGGCAGATCTTTAGCAGCTCTTCTTAGAATTTCCTGCTGAGATTCTGGTCTTTCTTCTTTTTCATATTGCTCCTTATCAGTTTTTGATAAGCAAAACTGCAGAAAAGGAGAAAAGCATGTTTGTTGTCTGCTAATTATATTTAGCATCTGCTAACTTATATTTAGATGATATGTATAGAATTTTTATACATTATTAATTCAAAGAAATATTAAACCAAAATCAAAGAGCTGACCAGTTTGTATCACCAAACAGATAATGTATATTATCCTAACCCAAAATCTATTTCCCCTTTCATCTCTTTAGTACTGTACAAACGTATCTCTTACCACTCTACATTATTAGTAGGTATATGACATCTGGTAATTATGAATGCATGTTAATTATATTATCTATATTTCTGGTGGATTCAGCAATTGTGACTGTCACATAAAATGTGCAGTGGCCTAGACAGATGGAAACTGCACTGTTCAAATTTATATAATGAACATTTGCGCTGGTTGGCTGGAAACAGGATTCAACTCATTAAACCATCACTTGCCCACAGGGATCAGAATTGGATGATGAAGGCAATTCAGGAATGATGCATTAATGAACCCACTAAATAAAAGCATGAGACTGAAGCCCTGGAAAATTTCAACACTTTGCCAATCCACACTGACAAGCTGAGCACTGCCCTTATATTTTAACACAAGATGCCATAATGTGGAAAGCATTTCAATTCAACAGGATGATATCATAGTCTATGCATTGCATAAAAAAGTGACTGTACAGAATTGTAGCTCCAATCTAAGTAGTTTCAGCTTCAAAACAACTTTTGTATGTACCTTTTAAAACCTTGTCATCTGCATGAATGTCTCTTTAGTATTACCTATTTGTAAACAGGCTGAAACTGGGTTTAGGATCTTCTTAAGTGCTATGGCAGATTCTAAGCTTTTAAAAATATGTAGTCACAAATTAAAAAAAGGTGAAGCCTAATGAGATGCTGAATGCAATTCAAGGGCTGGTTTTGATTAATAAAACCTTATCTGCTTGATTCCTTGATATCTATGGCATTGTTGTCTCTGTGAATCTGCCTGCCCAGTGTAATCAATCCCAGAAATGATGGTTTGGATCTCTCCCCATTAGGGTGACAGAAGGGCAGTCTGTTTATTCACAAATATTTGTCTGTTTTTAAAATTTAAAATGCTACCTAATACTCTACCATTGCTCTTCTATTTTCAAAAATGTACTGTGAAAACACACTTCAGGCTAACTTTTGAGAATAAAAGAAAATAAATATATCCAGGCCTACAATTAAAAAAGACCCAGATAATATTTGACTCTAAATCAGGGCTGTCAAACTCACATCGTCACAGCGTCGTCACGTGACGTATTAGAACTTTTTCCCCCTTTGCTAAATCGGGCGTGGGCATGGTTAACGCGTGATACATCCAGCCCGTGGGCTGGGAATCTGATAGCCCTGCTCTAAATAGAAGAGCTATTTAGCAAAACCACTAAAACTATAACTGCTGAATTATAATTGTCTCAGGCTGCATTTTGATTTACCATAGGGCAGGGATGGCTAACCTTTTTGCTGTTGCGTGCCAAAAGCGGGGGAGAGTGCGGGGGTTTGAGTGTGCGCGTGCCCACACCTATAATTCAATGTGCCCTGCCCCCGTGCATGCACACACGACCCCCCCCCACGCTCCCACCGCTTTTGGCCCATGATGGCACGGTGGGCCCGGGTAGGCCTGTTTTTTGCCCTCCCCAGGCTCCAGAGGCTTTCTAGGAGCCTAGGGAGGGCCAAAATGGCCTTCCCCACCCTCCCTGGAGGCCAGAAACGACCCGTTTCCCGATTTCCGGTGGGCCCGAAAGGCCCGAAAATCAGCTGACTGGCTTACGCATGCACGCTGGAGCTGAGCTAGGGCAACGCTCGCGTGCCGACAGATATGGCTCCGCGTGCCACCTGTGGCACGCATGCCATAGGTTCGCCATCACGGCCATAGGGCATTGATAAAATAATTATTTTTAGGAAGGGTCATGTTTAATTTAAATTAGCAAAAGGAGTTCCTTAGTGAATCTCTCTTTCTCTCTCTGGATGTAACATGGATTAGAGCATTGATAATGACTTCATAACGACACTGTACATTTCTATAGAATTTGGACATTATTTGGGTGTCTTAAAATTAACAGCACTCCTAAGTGAGAATGAAGTTTGTTTTGAGCATAATTGTTAAGGTAAGAATGATTATAAAAATGTACAGATTGTGAATTGGTTTATACCTATATTAAGACTATGAAAGAAGAGCACAAGGGCCACCTATCTAAACTAGCTCATTCAAAATAGGAAATTGTTCAAATTAAAGAAATCCAAATTAAGCTGTGGCAATGCAGTAATTTCAGAAAATAATTGTCTGATTTTCATTCACAACACTGCAATATAATTTATTAAATGGGAATAGAAAAACTAAACAAAAAGAAAACTTAACAAATCTTATTTTAAAGTAATCATTAGTATCACAAACAATTCAATAGTAAAAACTGCAAAACTTTGCCAATGATAACATTTACCTCATTGGAAGGGGAGGCAGGAGATGTAAAAATAGTCTTCCAATAGGACCACGCAAACATAACAAATGACAGATGAAAAATCACAAGGTAGACAACTGCAATAAAAATAAAATACAAATAAAATTTCAGTGAAAACTGTTAAAAAGAGCAAAAACAATAACATGAAAAAGGGTTAGGGGATTAAAGCAACATTTCCTTTGACCTACTAGCAAAATAAATTTGAAGACATAATTGTAGTATATGAGATTGCACAGAACCCTGAGTAATAGTCAACAATAAATCAATAATAATAGGGTCATACAAAAAATAGATCAGTTCCAATTGAGTCAATTGTAGGCAGTTGGCAAACAGAAATTATAGATATGGACGTTGTTCCATCCTAGAAACCATTACCACAAAAGGATGCTCCAAGCATATGGATTACTGCAATTGAATTGCTCTTAAATAATATCTGGAAGCAGTAACTGGTTCAGAATGCAGGGGAAAATCAGGTTTTGGGCATCTATTAGTTTATCCAAGTAATTGCACTGCTGTAGTTGTTTTCTAGATCCAATTCAAGATACTAGTTATCATCTTTAGAAGCTCCACATGGCACAGACCCAGGTTAGTTGTGGGACTGCCTCTCACTAATAGTATCTACACTCCTACTCGTGTTTCCCTGAAAATAACACTGGGTCTTATTTTCTTTTGGGCACCAAAATAAGCATTAGGGCTTATTTTTGGGGGTGTCTTATTTTTTCCATGTACGGGAGTCCCACTTCTTCTGCTTGGTCATGGTGAGACAGGAGACCCCGTGATGCGCCAGTGCTGCTGCCACAAGGTGGGGGTGTAGCTGCCCCACATGCCATGCACTGGCTTACCTCAGGGCCTCCGCAGCCAGGCCATCCACACCCGGATATCTGCCTCGCCTTGCAGCCCTGGCACCAGCACACTGCTTGGCATCCTGCTCCGTTGTGATAGCAAGCAAGCAGAAAAAGTGGGCCGGCGATCACGTGGGTTCCTGCTGCACATGCTTGCTGGTGCTGCCACCACAAGGCAGCTGATGGGGCATGATTGGCCTGGCTGCAGGGGCCCTGAGGTAAGCTGGTATGGGTGCGTGGGGCAGCTACACCCGCCGCCTCACCTCGTGACTGCAGCACTCTGAGTAACCAGACAGAATAGGCGGCTGGCTGGCTGCACAGGCTCTTAAGGTTTATTTTGGGGGTAGGGCTTATATTAGGCACATGAATAAAACATGCTAGGGCTTATTTTCAGGGTAGGTTTTATTTTTGGAGAAACAGGGTATTAGGTAGGTGAGCATACTCCAGATCTCCTTTGTTAAATGCTGGTACCTGATGGCTGCCCCAGTCCTTTGGAGTAGCCTCCCTCCTGAGATACAAGGGATACCTTCTGTTTGAGTTTTCCACTTGGCTTTCCCCCCTAACACTGGACTAGAGTATGGGTTGAACTGGGAGGCTGTTTAGTCTGGTGCCTGGAGGGGAAGACTATTTCTGATTTTAGCTGTGTTTTTATGGATCGTTGTGAGCTGCCTAGAGTCATTATACAAGATAGGCAGCCAGATAAGTCCTGATGGGGTTTCTTCTTTTGTAGCCAATTTATTTTAATCAGCCAATATTAATTCAATTATTTGGAGATCCTGATCTTTCTATGCTTTAAGAATGACTTGTAGGAATAGCATACATACAAACACATATGCACACACAAAGAAACCTGAGATACATAGATACATATATGAGGAGTAGAAATTGCCAGAATTGTTTTCAGCTAATAATGGCAACCATAGTAACTAGTAATTGCACTGGAATTTTGTCTTTGCTTTTTATTTTTCTGGGTTTTAAAAATCAGGGCCATCTTCTTTTTAGATAACCACAGAATTGATAACAGAAGCCAGTTTTGCCTGAGGTTTCTAAACTGAGTTCAGAATCAAAGGTATGTTTTCCTGCATAAGGAATATACGATAGCAATAATATATATGCAATTTGAGATAAGCACTACAAATATTATAAACTGTATTTTATTATTACAAAATATGGAACTGGAAATCATCATGTGTCGAAATCCTTGCACTTATAAAATCCTTTTTTTAAATTTATTTTTTACTTTTAATTAGTTTTTGCATTTGGTTTTAAGAGTTAATGTGTTTTTACTGTTTTCATATTTTGCTTATTGGTTGTGTTGTTATGTGGTTGTTTTTAATATGTGAGCCGCTCAGAGTTGCAAATATGAGTTGTGTGTCTATACAAATTGAATACATTTGAATTAATAAAATCCAGCCTCAGCGTCAGAAAAGGTCATCCTCTATTGCACCTGGATAAGCTCAGTCTGCCAACATAATTTGGTACTCCTAATTTATATCTTTCTTAGTTCTGAAATTATGAATATTTATAATAAGCAAATGTATAGTCCGTGAGAAACTATTCTATCTTGATGCATTCATTCCTATTTAACATCTGCATGGAGTCATGTGTTGTAAATATAATACTCAGCTTTATATCTCAACTATGGCCTAAACAGAAGATGCCGTTGAGAACTTGTCAATATGTCCGGGAGGCTGTTACAGCCTAGATAGAGACAAATAGGCTTAAATTCAATCCCTGAAAGACAGAACAGTTTTGAGTGAGGAAGCTTTCCAGTTATAGAAAAATTCTATCTAAGTGACCAATTTTTATATATATCAAGGGCAATTGCAAAATTCCAACTGTAGCTTTATGCATGCATGTTAATTGCTGCATATGTTCTAATGCTTATTAGGTTGGTTTAACTCCATAAAATCATCGAATCAAAGGGCTGGAAGGAACTAGGTCTTCTAGTCCAACCCCTTGCTCAAGGCAGGAGTTCTTATACCATCCCAGACAAATGCTTTTTTTTTTGTTTGAAAACCTTCAGTGATGGCGCATCTATAACTCTGGGAGGCGAACTGTTCCATTGATTAATCGTTCTGTCAGGAAATTCTTCCTTATTTTCAGGTTGAATCTCCCTTTGACAAGCTTCACCTGTTGCTTCTTGTCCTGCCCTCAGGTGCTATTGGAGAATAAATCAATGCTCCCTTCGCTGTAACAGCCCTTCAAGTATTGGAAGACTGTAATCATGTCTCTCCAAGCCTTTTGTTCATTAGGCTAAACATACCTAGTTCCCTTTGCCGTTCATTTTAGGATTTAGTCTCAAGGTCCTTATCGTCTTTTGGCTCTTTCTAGGACCTCAACATTTTTTTTATATTGTGTTGATCAGAACTGGATGCAGTATTCCAGATGCGGCCTCACTAGAGCAACATACAGCGGTACTATCATTTCCCGTGATCTTGGTGCTATCCTTCTGTTGGTGCAGCCTAGAACTACATTGGCTTTTTTGGCAGGTGTAGCACACTGCTTACTCATACTTAAGAGTGATCCATAAGGATACCTAGATCTCTCTTTCGGTTACTACTATTGAGCCAGGTACCGCCTATTCTATACCTATGTATTTGTTTTTTCCTGTCTAGGTGCAGGGCCTTAACTTTTCTCACCACTAAGCTGCGTCTTGTTGGATAGAGCCCATGCTAAAGTCTCTCAAGATCCTTCTGAATCTTTATCTTTCAAAATGTTGGCAATAAAGTAAATAAAGCAATAAAATAAATAAACCAACCAGTAATATACGTGTTTTAGTAACAAGAGTTTATTCAAGATACTCTTTGCCTTAGAGATCATATGCATTACAGAAACCTTGACTCTGAACGAATCATGTCTAGTAATTGAAAAGCAAATGGCTTAGCTAGAGCAGGTCACATATGATTTTATAAATAAAGGGTTCATAAGCTCGCTTGCTCATAATACTTGCAGATGCAATAGAAAAATACGAACAAATTCATTATTCTGAAAAAATACACATGCTATCAATGTTTTTGTTCCTTGTCCCAAATGTTTCTATAAGCTAAGAGTAATTTACATAAAATAAGTAGTAAACATTACAGAGTTCAAAAAAATGCTATTATATGAGCAAAAAGTTCTTATTTATTCCATGGAAGAAACTGCATTTAAGAATTTAAGAATGTCAGAACGTAAGTGCATAAATAGCTGTGCTGTGCTGATCTAGCTGTGCTGAATCAGCCAAGGTGCTTAGGCCAGCGTTTTTTCAGTGCCAACCAGATGCTTCTCACAGGTAGGAGAGGGAGACTGCTTTTGTTCACCTCCAGCTAGTATTGGTAGGCATGCTACTTCCAATCCAGAAGCAACCGTGAGTCAAGGTGGTTTGATAGATGCGTCCTCTGTCAATTTATCTAAGCTAAATCTGAGAAGCTAAAGCAAAATCTTTATGTCAATAGATTCCAGTTCATTTACCATGTGCAGATTGCTAGTTTTTGTACTTTAGGGTTCGTAATCCAACTATTTTTTCTGAATAGGTTTATAAAGTTACATTAAAAAGATAATGGAACGCCAGTTACTACAATTGGCTTTATCTCTTAAATCCCGAAGTTGCTGTTTCAGTGACTGAAGATTTTCTGTTTGTAAACAACTGCAAATAGCCTCCAGGAATTGTGAAAGAAAAGAAAGGACCTTTTGTAACTAATTGATGAACTGAGGGGAACTGTCACAGAATACTGAATATTTTATGTTTCTGTCACAATCTCATAACAAATGAGTAATTGTTGACCTACTTTCCAAGCTGACAAAGAACAAAAGTTTTAAGAAGAAATACCATTAGGCCTCAGTGCAATCCAGAGGCATTAGGAGGATCTGTCTGCTCCAATGACATTATACACCACTGAATTTCTTTTGGTGGGGCAGCCTTGAATACATACAATTTTATGAAACTATAAATATTACTTGAATAGAAACAATTGGCTGAAACAATTGGTTTTGAGAATACATACGATATTTTTAACAATGTTCTATTTAAAAAAAAAACAACTGTTACCCGCCCAGAGCCATGAATCTGAGATGGGCAGCCATATATTGTTTTGAAAAATGAACTGAGAGAATGAATGAATGAATGAAAGAATATATACATGGAATCTGTCACATTTAATCGTTACATTAAAACATTTGTGAGAAAGAATAAAGTATTTGAATTGAAATGCAGTAAAATAAAACCGAGCTTAACTTCATTTGAACAATTATTGTTAAACTTAATCATTTCAAATACCTGAGTTCACTTGAAATTTAATTTAATAGGGTGTGTGGCAGGTTGGAGGTGGCTAATGGTAAATATAAATTAGCCAGGACCTGGATAGCTCCTAAAACCCATGCATTGTATAGTCATCTAACATCCAAAGGACCAGGAGTTCAATTCCCAGTACAAGATTTGAACTGCACAGAGTAACATCTGCATCTGAGATGTCCCAATACAGGATCAAATTGGTTGTGCTTGATGGTCACTGTAACTGAAACCACCATGCAGGATAAACTGTGTAAAGATAATGAAATTCCCTCCTGGGGATGAGCTGAAAGTCATGTGATGCCCAGTCCATGGAAGCATGACATAACAGCTGTATCTTTCTGCTCTGGGGGCAGGTGGTCTGATTATACCATTCTAATTCAAGACAGCTTCTAAGTAATTCTCCCAAAACCTCCTATTTTGGAATAGATCAAGATGCTTTTTTTAATGGGCTTTACCAATATGTTAATCCCTTGGGATGTGTTTAAACCATTTACTTAGAACCTGTATTGCTATTGCCTTAGCAAAAAAGAGATTTCAAGATTTTAATCTTATACAGTTCGAAAAGATGATTAAAGACTTACTTTTGCCTTATGCTAAAAATACACCTCCCCCCCCAATGAATTCTATCAAATATTTATAGCAGCTAAAACTAAATTGGGGCTACCATTTTCAGAAAAAACTGAATATTTGATGAAATACTGTATTTTAATCAGATTTAGGGGGAATCAAGAGAGAAAGCTGGAAAAGTATCTGATGGATTTTTAATTGAATGGTTTACAATTTTTCTAGATGTATCAGAAAACCTATATTGGTAGAGATTCACAATCAATCAATTAATCTTTCTATATACCCTCTACTTTTATAAATTTTATTTTAGGAGGTCAATGTTATAGAAATATTAAAAAACATGAAAAAGAAATGTATAGGCATTTATCTTAACATGGACGCTAAAATATTAATTGCAACACTAGCTATGAGGCGATAGAAAGTGAAATTGTGGATAATTCACCCATGTCAGTTGGTATTTATAAAAAGTAAACACCCGTTTGATAATATCTATTTGACAACTTATGTTTTGGGAATAAAACATGGAAAAACACAACTGAAAGCGACCTTGGAGATCTTCTAGTCCAATATCCTGCTCAAGCATAAATCATACCAGACCATAAATTATCATGGCAGATAATTTAGAATAGGATTTTCTAACTTTGTGGGACACTGAAAAGACATTTAATACAGTTCAGATAGGATTTGTAATAAGGAGATATGGATTTCCATCATTTTTTGTTCACTGGGTTACAATTTGGTATCTCCACCTATTGCTAGGTAGAGATACCAAATGGAGTTTTGGTATAGAGCAATTTTGTGGTATCCCAAGGAAGCCCTTGTGTTCTTTAATCCTTAATTTAATTGTGGTAACTTTAGATTAGACAGTCTCAAGACATCAAGAATGTAAGGCATATGATAGTGAATCTAAACTACTTTACATGACAATGATTTAATGGCCAGGGTAAAATTAGGGTAAGTTTGAAATATCATTATTGAAGTTGTATAGCAATATAGTTTATACTCCTGTCAGACTACTAATTGGAAACAATTTAATGTGCTGCATTTGAGTTTTATGATAAATGTAGACAAGGAATTAGGATTTACATTTTTTCCCTGCTTTTCTCATGACAGACTATAGGAGAAAAGAGATCCAGTTTTCTAATTTTTATTCCAGATTCCGTAATTGTCAATTCAGACTATTTTTCACAACAATTGGCTAGTCTATGCATATCCCTTTTAGGAATGATTAAATAAGGATTCCTTTTCTAGATACCCTTTGAGAAACTTACTTCACAAGAAGCCAAGGACTTAATTTCTTTAATAAGAACAAGGTTGCATTGTAGCACCTAAATCTTGATGACCAGAAAAATTTGAAGTACCGTATATTTTGGGGGAAGTCTCTTTTCTAGTGTTGAATGATATCAGCAAAGGTTTATTCATTCTTCCCTCTTTGGACACTAGAAAACTGATTGGAAGGCTAAGATGGAAACGGACTCATTATTTTGCTGCTACTTGTTATATTTTTAATCTCTCTCTAAAAGTTTAAAACTGCTGCTTTCATGCATCCTTTTTTACTTTTTTCCCCCATTACTATCTTTCCAGATCTTATTAGCAGCAGCAGTGCTAAAGAACATGAGTAGTTGCTACTATCATCTTTGATCTTGAGAAGATATTCCTTCTAGAATCTTCCAGCCAACAAGTTCCTGACATTTAATTACAACTGCAAATAGTTTTTTTAGAAGAACAAATTGCTTTACTTTTTAAACAGATAATCTTACAAGATTACAGATGTCAAAAGGAAATTTCTAATTTCCTATTCTTCTCTAATTAAGCATCTGTTTTCTTCTCCCTGCAGCCTTTCTCCATTTCCTAACATCATCTGTAACCAGTTTTTTCCCTACCATTTTCTATAGAAAAAACAAAGAACAAAGAATCCAGTCCCATTATTTTGTATTTTAAAGGTTGTTAAGGAAGGAGAGGCATTGCTGGGGAAACCAGAACATTCTGGGGTGGAATTTGGAGGGAAAGAGGAAGAATATCTTTGAAATCTGTAGTTCAATATAGATAATTGCTGATTTGAACCTCACAGGTGAAGTTGCAGCAATATTCAGTTTACAGAAAAAGACATGCAACCAATTCAAACATTTGGAAAATTGTAATTTGTGCTATTAGTTGTTTTTAATTTTTATTCCACCTTTATTATTTTTACAAATAACTCAAGACGGCAAAAATATACAACATATCTTCCAACTCATGTTTTCCCCACAACAACAACAACAACTCAGTGAGGTGGATTAATCTAAGACAGAGTGATTGGCCCAAAGTCAACTAATTTGCTTTCATGGCTAAAGTGGGACTTGAATTCATGCTCTCCTGCTTTCTAATCTGGTGTCTTAACCACTAGACCAAACTATTATGGTGAATGTAGGTTAGAGGCACACCAGTATTTATTGGATGAAAAATGTAAAGTACTCTGCATATTTTTTGAGATACTTTCTGGCTAGAATAAATTATTTTTGTTTATTTAGCTCAGCAATTCTTGTGAATCCTTAATTTGATGAACAGTAAGCTTATGCTGCTTCTGTTGCTTCAGAAAACAGTAATTTTAGATTTAAGCAAGCGTCAGCAATACTTCTGTTGCCAAGGTCCCATTTTTTCAAAAGCCGAAGGCGTCCATCACATGACGGAAAGGCCTGATGCTGGAATTACATTTTTTTTTCTTTTCAAAACTCAAGCAATTAGTAATTTTGCAAGATAAAACTCAAGTACTCTATGACTTGACATATGCACAGAAATAAAATGTTTTACAAAGAAAGAATCATACCTTTTTCTCCAATTGAGGTAATTGTAACTGGAGGAAAAACGAAACGAGTGTGAGTCAATTTTAGAAATCAAGCACATTAATAAAACAATGTATTCAAACATATTAAGTTAAGAGAATGTGCATTTTGTCATTCTCCACTCCAAAAAAACTCAATTTATTTGCATAGGTATTAACAAAACAATTGAAGGGTGGTGCCCATTTTTCCCTGGGGAAATGAAGGAATTATTTTGTTTGCCTGCCACTGAAAAACAATTCCTCATTTGTCTGTCTATAGCATGTATGCTTCTGACAAACAAACATGCTGAATCGGTAGTTTATTTCATGCTCCTTCAAGTGATGAAGATTAGGAAACTGAAATGATGAAAGTTATATAATGGCAGCAGACAAAAATTCAGCCGAAGGACTCCATTTTAAATGATCGGACCACAGCTTAATCAACTGAAATGATAACAAATCTAAGACTTCTCCCAGCTCCATCTTTCTTGGTGTGCAATAATCAGTTATAATTTCCTCTTTAAAAATGTTAGATTCTTATTCCACTGATCAGCAAGAGTTCAAGGTGGCATAAACTACACTGCCTGCTCAGGGGTGAAATCTACTTACCTTCACTACTGGTTTGAGTAGTGGGGAGGGTCAAAAACAGCTTACTTCCTGGTTAAAACCAGGAAGTAATGACATCCGGGTGGGTGGGCGGAGCCTTGTGCTGCCGCTACTACCAGTTTTCCGAACCATGTGCTGCTGCTGCCGCTACCAGTTTGCCTGAACCGGAGCGAACCGGTAGCATTTCACTGTGCCTGCTCCAATTTTTCCACAGAACCACCTTGGGAGCAGGGGTGAAATCCAACAGGTTCTAACAGGTTCTGGAGAACCAGTAGCGGAAATTTTGAGTAGTTTGGAGCACCGGCAAATACCACCTCTGGCTGGCCCCAGAGTGCGGTGGGAATGGAGATTTTGCAATATCCTTCCCCTGTCACGCCCACCAAGCCACGGCCACAGAACCGGTAGGGAAAATTTTGAATTTCACCCCTGTTTGGGAGGTAGCTTGGGCTGAGAAAGAACAGTCTAAAGACACCCACTAAATTTTCATGCCAAGAATGGACTTGAAGCTGCATTTCCCTGGACTCAGCATAGACCTTTAATCCTTGCACCAGGCTATGGTTTTCAGATTCAGAATAACCTAATGTTTTAAGTGGATTTCAGATGTCACATTGTCTTTCCCTAAAAAGGTTTGAAGGGTTGAATTAAGCACCGAAGCTTTATTAGGGCAAAACGATGAAAAATGATATTCATACCTTTCATTTTTTGATCTGTGGGGAATCACTCAGTAAGTCATTATATGATATTTTGAAAAATAATACAACAATGAGTTTGTAATCTGGTATTTACTAATAATTGTATATATTCCTGGATAAGCCTATCTGTGGATAAACCAACTCTCGAAGTTTGAACCAAAGTACCATGAAAAATACACCACCAGCAGATAAATTGACTCTCAAAATTTTCATATGCCTTAATTTTTACAATTGTCCTAGGTTAGTGATGGCTAACCTTTTTGCCATTGCGTGCCAAAAGTGGGGGTAGCACGGGGGAGTCGCATGCGCATGTGCCCACATCCATAATTCTATGTGCCCCGCCCCTTGAGCATGCGCACATGACCCCCCCGCGCTCCCCCTGCTTTTGGCACACAATGGCACCGGGGCCCAGTAGGCCTGTTTTTTGCTCTCCCCAGGCTCCAGATCCTCTCTAGGAGCCTGGGGAGAACAAAAAATGGGCCTTCTGGTCCCACCGGAAGTTGGCAAATGGGCGATTTCCAGCCTCTGGGGGGGTCTCCGGGGGGGGGAGGCCATTTTCACCCTCCCCAGGCTCCTAGAGAGGCTCTGGAACCTGGGGAGAGCAAAAAACGGGCCTTCCCCACCCACCCACAGGCCCTCTGGAGGCAGGAAACAGCCTGTTTCCCTACTTCCGGTGGGCCCAGAAGGCCGAAAATCAGCTGGCCAGGTGCGCATATGCGCCGGAGCTGAGCTCGTATACCCACCGATATGGCTCCATGTGCCACCTGTGGCACGTGTGCCATAGGTTTGCCATCACAGTCCTGGGTGGTGTATTTTTCATGGTATTTTGGTTAAAAAAATTGAGAGCTGGTTTATTTATAGGTGAGGTCTTATCTGCGAGTATATGTGGATAATTTTAAAAAGTATTACTGATAATAATTTTTATTATCAGTATTGGTGGTGCAGTGGTTAGGATGCAGTATTGCAGGCTGACTCTGCCCACTGCCAGGAGACTGATCCTGACAGGCTCAAGGTTTCTTAGCCTTCCATCTTCTTGAGGTTGGTAAAATGAGGCCTCAGATTGCTGAGGGCAATATGCTGACTCTGTAAACCACTTAGAAAGTGGTGTAAAGCATTATGAAGCAGTATGTAAGTTTAAGTGCTATTGCTATCATCATTAATTTTCTAGGTAGAATGGCATTGAATAGAATCAACTTTATATTTGCGTACATAATGAAAATAATTGAAATATTAATTGGTATGTTTAATATTTAGCCTTGAAATTAACACACATATTCAATAAGAAGTTCAAATACAGCTAATTCTAACGTTGCATTATTTGCTTGATAGCTTAATCCCATCTATGGCTATTCAAAACTTAGTATCTGTAAGCTCAGTGTAACTTAACTCCATTGGATATAGGAGCTCTTAAATAACGTTTCCTTCTCAGATAATGATACCATCTTAGTTCAGCCTCAAAGAATACAATGGCATTTGAAAAGTACAATAGAAAATTCTACATTAGAGCCAGTGTACTGTAATAATAAAATATAATAATAGTAATACAAAATCTGCCTTTATTACTTCATAAGTAACTCATAGCAGATCTAACACCCCTTCTCCTATTTTTTCCACAGCAATAACCTTGTGAGCTGGATTAGACTAAAAGAGAGAGGTCACCCAACTAGCTTTGTGGTTTGTTTGTGTGTTGGGGCCTGATGCCACTTAAGTTTTTGAATATTTTGTGTCTGTACTATTATTTGGGGGGGGGGGGGCGTTTCCCTGGCTATAAGCCACTAAAACTCTGTTAGATTGAAGCAGGATATACATTTTACCTCACAAACGCATTTTTAAGCCAAAGAAAATATTAGCCAGAAGTTGTCATCTACTGCAACAGGGATCCTAAATGCAGTTAAGTTACGATTTAACAGTTCCCTGATTGACAGTTTGGATTGCAACTGGCAGTATTTGTGTTCAGATATCTTTCCAAAATAACAGTATTTGAAGTAACCCGGACAGTTCATATACATATATGTTATGTTGCTTCCATATCAAAGGACACAAATTATATATTTACATTCAACTGACATTAAATGACAGATATGAATGGCAGCAACTTGTCACTAATAAACATTCAGGAAAAACAATTCACCGTGGTCTTTCCCTTTAATCTGCCATTCTCCATCCCACCCCCATGACTGTGTAAGAATCATGTCTGGGGTCTTAACTTGCTCTCATCAATAGCAGAGTTGCCTTGTGGTAAAATGAGTGGCCAATAAATTTAATAAACAGATAAATAAATAAAAAGGTGACATTTATCTTTGCAGTAGCATCAGGTCTAATAGATGACTAAGTCATTATAACACAAAATACTATGTATACTATTTGAGAGGCAAAGCAGCCAAGTGACATTGTACAATGAAGAAAATGTCACTACCGTCCCCATCTGGCATCTACCTGCACAGAGATAGGAATAAATCTCTCCTAGTGACAAAATAATGTCTCTCCGGATATGATTGAAATGTACTTCACCACCAGCACCAACCCACCTGATCAATAGTGAATGATGCTGGAATTGTATTTTAGCTGTTTTTGGAAAAATAAATGTTGATTAACACCTTGCCTTGAGCATTTTGTTGGCTCTTCTTCTCTCTTGAAATGAGGGATACAAATACAAATTGCTTAATAGATTTCAGTGAGGTTTACAAATGAAACTATCTTGAGGATTGAGCCTTTTATGATCCTTCAAATCCAACATGGATTGAAGCCAACAATGCTATTGTGAAAACCTTGGCATCTTTTTTACCCACCCTGAATCATCTGTACTCCATGTGTTGGTACTAATAAGTTCTGATTTATTTTATAATAACAACTTATTTTGGAAATTCAAGCTATTGGCTGGCTCACTGATTATTTCTAGGAATAATTAAAAGCATTCCAAGTTGCTCAGAAATCTGTCATTTTTACATCTCTTTCATTATGATAGTTTTTGTTTTCCCCTTTATAATATACAGGTGTGAATATGTATGTATGTATGTATGTGTGTGTGTATGTATAAATATATATGCCATTTATAGAAGGAAAGTATTTATTTTGACTGAATCTGACTTTATCTTATCTTACAGTTTCAAGTTGAATGAGTTTGTTTGAGCAAATGATTGCTACTTGGAGCTTGTTTTCAAATTATGTAGGAATAATTTCTAGTATGATGCTGAGACAACGAGGATCACACAACTTCCTATAACATTCCCCACATGCAATCTGAACAGCATGCTACACAATACTTTAGGAACATTTGGAGAAACAAGTTTTCTATTTCAAAACACTTTGGGTCAGGATATGTAGCAAACTGGGATCTTTAGTTCTAAATATGGAACCCAGGGATTCCAAGCAGAAGAGTTTTGAGTAAGATTGTAAGAGTGTTTTATGAAAAAGTGAATGGAAAAAAGGCCGGAAACTAAGGGGAAGCCAGCAGGAATTCAAGGGTAGGGAGGAGTGAGAAGGCACTAGGGCAGGGGTGTCAAACTGGTGGCCGGTGGGCCAAATGCATCACGCACAAGCCACTCCCACCCCAGCTCCGCAAAGAGGGAAAACGTCGCAAAACAGCAATGTGATGCAGTAAGTTTGACACCTGAGCACTAGGGAGATGGTAAATTGGGAGAACCATATGATATGATAACTGGGACCACTGGAAAGGAAGAAGGAAGATGGAGTAATATGCCCAATCGTGTCCTATCTATCCTGTGAAATCCTTCC